ATTTCTTGTTAATCTGTAGAAGGTGTTTACGAGAAATATATATTTTTTAATAATTCAAATAGAAAATATGGAATAAGAACACATCGATAATTTCTGAATATATTGGAAATATTGGTATTCCTCGAATAAAGTACCAATGTTTAAAAAACAGCTTTAAATTGTAAATCTTGCCATATAAAAAACAAATATGTTATAAATATCAGAACGGAAATGTGTAAACTTTAATGAAATACAACAAGTAATATAAATACAAAATGACTTAGGAACTGCATAGTTGCAATCAGGCAGGCGGACATTTTCTACTTTCTAAGCACTTTCACTACATAGAGAAACAAAACGACCAATGAGTGCTGACTCAATGTTTACTTCGACGCATTTTTCCTCTTAATAGCATACTGTTTTCGATTTCTAGATAATTCTACAATGTACGTATTAAAAAATCAAAAACATATATAATATTCATTATATCTTAATATAATAATTAGAATATGCTATGATATAATTACTTTTAAATCCTTTAAATCAATAAATTTATCGAACGTGCAAATACAATTATGCAAATGTGACATTTTGATAATTTTATTACTATGGCATTACCACGATTATATTTGCTGTCATTATGACATTTAGAAAATCATGAAACCAAAATGACAGATAGTATAATTATGGCGACGAAATCTAAACAATATTAAAGTGAAAAAAATACCACTTGTTAAACATGCACTGTTGACACAGTTTTAGTTTTATTAAAAAGAAATCATCATCAAAACAACTATTGTGCTTTGACCTAGAGAAGTGCTCTCATTGTATTCTAACCCAAAACGTTGAGTGTTACAGTTTAAATTCCCTTAAATTTACAAAAAAATGTCTAAGAGAATGCACCAATAGATACTTTCACTGCTTTCACCGGCCTGGTTTTCTTGCTGATGAGTAGTTGGCCTTCAGAGTTCAGGATGATGCCACTTTTGGTTTTATGTCACTTTCATTAATCTTCGACGATGAAAGTTATGACGCACGGGAAGCCTGGAATCGGGTCATGGTTCACGGGCACGAGTGAATACTTGGGAAACGGCGAGTCAGGTGTTGTACTCGTATTGTGCGTAGTACATATTCAACAGGGTTAAACGAGGCTCGAGTTGGACGAGTGTTTTATTACAATATACATTTACGTAAACAATAGTACGTATATAGTTACGTAGTACTAATAATATGTATATATAAATTATTACATTTTATGAGAATCACGAAAATATTATTTAAACAAAAAAATGCAAGGAAATCACGATCACAGTTTTAAAGACGATCAACATATTAAACTCTTAAAAGTAAAATTCATGCTTACCATAGTGTTTAATTGCTATTATAGAATGTATGGCTATAATATTAAGTACATAAATAATTAAAGGTTATTTTTGGATAAACTTATGTATAGGCTTACAAAATTCCCGCCAGAATTAAACAATCAGTGGGCGTTGAGACTTGAGAACCAACGCATCAGTTTTCTATGACAATCACCTACACCATGGTAAAAGTTGATGTCATTGACCGTGTGTTAGTGCGATTTTGACCTCACGCTCTATATATCAAGTGAAAGTATTATGAGTGAAAGTACGCGGGCGCACCCTTTGACGTACGAGGTTTTGTGGAAAAAGATTTACAGTAGAAACTCGATTATCCGGCCCTCAGTTATACGGATTCGCTATTATCCGGACTACGGACAAGTCCGGACAAGAAACAATAAGTGGTGTTGTTGAGAATGGCGTACGTCAAGTGACAAATACCAAATATTCTAAAGCAAATTAAAATTATTATTTTATTTCATGATTAAAATCTTCAGTTTTTACATTATATTTTACATTTACATGTACTTTTTTTTAATGAACTAAATACTACATATGCCCAAAATCGGCTTTTCTTCTTACATTCGATTATCCGGATTTTCGATTATCCGAATGCCTATCGTTAACAATTAGTCCGGTTGAGTTTCTACTGTAATATAATATCTATCTGTCAATCGATACTTAAGTATGTTTTGACTTTTAGTGTTGAAAGCAAAATTCTGAATATTATTGTATATTTCTACTGCATTCGGTATGTCTATAAGGATATAAAAATTATGTATTAAATATATGAGATTTCGGATGTACTACGCGTCTTTTATTATATAAAAACTACATTGTACATACTTCGATGTTTTAGTTCCTTTACAACAATCGCGGTCACGTACAGACGAGATTGTCGTCTAAAATAAATAATTTTAAACGCATAGTATATTCCAAAAACTTTGATATCATAATATATATACATATAATTTTGCTCTACATCGTAATTATTGATAGTAAATTTTCGGCAATTATCTGTTGCAAGAACCTATCTTGAAAATTGAGAGTTAAATTTGCTAGTGTCAAATTATTTTATATGTCAATGCCACAAAAACAAATTCTTAACTTTAAAACACTATTCCTCGATAGAAAATTTGATCTAAATGAACATACAAGTTCTGTCTGAAAATACAGACGGATAAACTAAAAAGAACTACTTTCTTTCTTTCTTTTCTAAAAAATAACAATGTTTAATAATAAGCAAGTCTTAAACTATCAATATATTAATAAAATTAAAAATATAATTAATAACATTAAATTGAAAAGATCGATTTGAGATCTTTATAAGTATCGAGAAATCAAACATTTGTTTTTGTTCTTATTCAATGGAAAATACAGAGTAACAATATTTTATTCTATGTTAATGAGTAATTTCTTTCAAAAAAAACATTTAAATTAGTTTATACATTAAAAAGTTTTCTATTAGTATGTAGCCTTAAGAACGAAGTCAATGAATATATCAGTTGTTTGCTATTTTATAATAATAAACCTAACTTTTTAATTAGACTACCAAAGTTTAATATTTTCAAACATAAAACTTTATTTACAACCTTATTCATTTTTAAAATCATCTATAATCTATGCAATTTGATTTTCTATAATCTACGCATTATGACATATGTCAAGAAAGTTCATACAAATATAATTATGGATGCATAAGTGTCTAAAAATTCAGAATAAATATTTTATTTATTTATATTCAGTCGAAAACTCCTGACTGGATTTTACTTTACTTTATTTTGATGAATGGTTAATAGACCCAGATTATGATAACGCTATTTCCGTCGGTAACTTGTACTTCAATTAGTGATAGTGTCATCAGTTTTAAACACGAATATGTCCTCTATCTTTGGATTATTATTTATAACTAATACGTGATAAGTTTTCATTTATCGAATAATTATATAATTTTTCATAAAAACTTATGTTGACTTAAGAAACGATAACATTTGAAAAGTAGAGGGAACAAGAAAAATCACTTAGAAAGGACAGTTCCGGCACTTAAGTCGACCACTTCCGTCAGTCAATAAACAGACGGAAAAGCACAATGATGACTACTTTTTTGACATTTCAGCATCATCTTCAAAAATGAGAAGTTATTTATAGACAAATTTTTTTTAACACCATATTTTTTCAACGATTTAAAATCCTCGTTTCGTAGGCATGCGATTTACTATTAAACCATCTTTCATAGAGAATTTTCAGCATAATCCTAGAATTTTTTTTTTCATGAGTAAGTATAGTTTAAAATCTAAGTTTACTTTTTCGTATTTAACTCACGTTACTATGTATTTTACATTAAACATAACGTTTTGTTAATTTTTCAGTAATCAGTCTTGTTGCTGGTCTTGTTTGCTTGTTATAATAGGAATATATAGTTTTTTGGCCTTGAGACATCAGTTTTAAATATTCTTTCTTCATAGAAATTTATTTCGTACATGAAATTGATGTACTTCTGTTTAATTTTTTTTATATTGTGTAGCAAACACGATTTTCAATATATGTCCAAGTGTCGAAATTTAATAAAATATAAAAAAAATAATCTGTACCATATTCCATTTTTGAATTTCGAACTCAACAATTGCACCAATCAGCGCCACACTGTCTACGGCTCTAGACTTTAAAGATAGACCTTAGGCGCTTTATACATCGTAGCTTGGCATTGATCTTTTTACCATTCAACTCCAACCGTGTTCGTGAAGAAAATATTGTTACCCTTATATCATATAGAAGTACCGATAATTGTCTTTATTTCATTAAATATATAATATATATTCATTTATTTCATGTGTAGTGGGCATAATAGTTTGAATAATAACTTAATATTTTTCATATACTAGATCTCCTGTTAATAATTTTATTTCGATTTCTGGGAATCATATGAAGCTACTTTACTATAAACCTACTGATATAAGACATACTAATTGCATATAGTCACTGTTGCCGACATTTTTTACTTGATTGCAAAGTCAAATTACAATCAAAAATAATTTTTATACTTCTAAATATTTTTTATATCACGCGAATTATTATAAAGATCTTTTATTATTTAAGACATCTAGCCGTCAGCTTTTGAACTACTTGAATATAATATTTTTTTTAGTTGTAAGTAAGATGGCATGACGAATCAAAAATCGTTTAACTGTTTTACCGTTAAACGAGGTTCCAAATCACGCTGACAGCTCTGGCTACATGTTGCTATGTTTTGTATTTTTGCCTTTTATTCTGGATAATTAGATAATTTAAATATTTAAGAGTATGAATTGTTTTATAATTTCTTTTAACTTAGATAAAAAGTAACTTACTCTGATTACACGTAAATATTAATTTACTGATTTAACTTTTTAAACTATATTACGTTGAACCTACATTATTTTATAATTATACTTTTGATGTTGAATTAGTAAAGTAAAATATGTAACAAACAGTTTTATGAATACACAATTAAAATACTATACATACTGTTGTCATTGCTGGCTGATTAAATAAATGACAGAATTACCTTAAACATTTAGTTGTCATACCAAATCTAGAATGACGAATGGCAACACAATTCGCAGCCACCATGATTTGGCGTATGCTTGTCACTGAGACTTGAACACAACGAAGCGAATAAAAATGTGTTTGTGTATTGTAAGAACTATTTTTCACCAATTCCTCATCGTATTCCTTTTATTAACTCCCGTATTAGCAGAATGGAATACGAGAGATTATATACGTCGAGAGCATTCACTAACAAAACCGTACCAAGGTGAGTGACCCGTATCGACTTTGAACTTAAGTTTTTCCAGAATAAATTACTCAAATTATATATATGCTACCCTTATCGGCGAAATTTGTATTTATAGCCTTATAAATATACGATTTTAGGGCGTTCTTCGTTTATTGAATTATAGAATTTGTTATATCTTTTTTTTATTTTAACAGGCAGCGGTATGTCTGTTCCGTACTGGGACTTCTTAGGCAGTACAATAGTTACAACGAATTACGTCCGTTTGACGCCAGATCTACAATCTAAGGCTGGAGCGATTTGGAACACTGTGGTACGCAAATTTAGACCTTACAACGGATAAGTCACTATCCAATTAAAAGAAAAGCTGACAGCTATACAGTATTTTACATGTGTACTGTATTTAAAGTTCTATACTTTACACGCTAAAGTATAATTTACGCAGTAATATCTTAATTATGTTACATAGTAATATAAATATATGACGGTCATAATATGGTTGCCAACTTTAATTATGATATTACTATTTACTCGTCAAACATTGCATGAAGGTCAACTATTCATTTTAAAAACTTCAATTTACATATTTTAGATACTATTAATTCGGTTTTTCCTCATTATTAATTTGTACATTAGGTATATTATACTACATACCCTAAATTATATATAGATATTACAAAAACACATATAAAGTACTTTCCTGTCTATTTTATTTAGATTAAAATGCTTTAAAAGTTAACATTATTTAATCCTCAATGTATGGTTATGGCTAAAATAAAATTAGTGAGATAAACAACTGATAAAATATTTTATTCACATAGATACTACTAAGTAACTTTACAACCTTTAGAACATTGCTTTCTAGTCGTCTTTGTAATTCAGCTATTGTATTAAAACTTAAACTTTGTATACTTCATGTGTAATCTAGGATGAAGGGACATTTAGTAGGTGTTTTTACAAAGAATCCTACTCATTCTACACTTTATTTTCAAATTTAACTTCATTTATTATTTCATCATTACTCTACTGCATATTATGTCTGATAAAACTATATTATATTCAAATATATATAAGTATCAATACTGAATGATAGTATGTAATATAATGAATAATCAACCTACATTACACTTGACATCATAATATTTAACAATATCAACGACATATAACTCATATATATCATTTTTAATAATTTCAGCCATGTATGACAAGGAATTGGGAGATACAAGTGCAGTTTAAAGTTCATGGTCGTGGTAAAGATCTGTTTGGTGATGGTCTAGCTCTCTGGTATGTTAAAGACAGAATGCAGCCAGGGCCAGTGTTTGGCAGTAAGGATTACTTCCAAGGACTCGCTATCATATTAGATACATATAGTAATCATAATGGTGCACATAATGTAAGTTAATTCTTATTATTTTTTCAACTTTTCTATTGTGTATGTGTCATATGTGGGTATAAATTATATAATTTCATAGAGACATTGGCTTTTATAAAAAAAACTAACTTTCCGCTCGCAGCTTCGCCCGCGCGGAGTTCGGTTATATCGCGTTTCCAAGAGAACCTTTCAATAGTCTGGGATAAAAACTATTCTATGTTCTTTCTCAATGTCAACTCTGTTTGTACCAAATTTCATTTAAATCATTTCAGTGGTTTAGGCGTGAAAGCGTAACAGACAGACAGAGTTACTTTCGCATTTATAATATTAGTAGGGATATTTAAGACATTTGCATAGATTTCATCCTATTATCTTTACAAGCACTCCACTATAAATGCTAAGTCATGTAACAGCACATAAAAAAATTAATTATACCAACTACACAATACAAAGATGCAAATTTTTCTCTTGTTTTAAATGAAATTGCATGTATTATTTTCTCAGAACTCAGACATATTATAGAATAAATTTTACTGTACAAATATTTTCTTGAAAATTACAAACAAATTGATTTTTAGGTTGGAATTTATGTATATTTATTTAAATGAAACTAATATTTTTCGGATGTACTACGCGATTTTATTTTTGTCTGGTCTGCCCGTAATCACGGTTGCTGTATAGTAATCGAAACATTGGGAGTATGTAGTTTTTCATCAAAAATAAAATCTCGTAGTACATTCATAAAATATTAGTTTCATTTAAATGAATAAGACTTGAAAAAACCTTAGATCTCATTAATGTATATAAATGTTATTAGCTTGACATTATTTTAATCTATCAAAAAATTTTAGCCAATTTTTTTATCTATTCTGTGTGTCCAGAGATTTATGCATGTTAATAACAATAATATTAATTACTAATTTTTATGTTACTGCAAAATTAGTTCACTTCCCTGTTAAAACAGTATGTAGTGGAAACTTAACTGGTATAAGTGTTAAAATATGATTATTATATTAAGTTGTAATATATGATTACTGTATGTTTTCCTAATAATAAATAAATATTATGTGTTTCAGCACCAACATCCATATATATCAGCCATGATAAGTAATGGAACTTTACATTATGATCATGATAGAGATGGTACGCATACACAAGTGGCAGGTTGTGAAGCAAAGTTCAGGAATTACAACCATGATACACACCTATCAATTATATATAAAGATGATACACTTAAAGGTAAGGATATATATAATACTAACTGCGCCCCGCGGTGTTACCCGCGAATTTCCGGTTTGTAAAGTAGCCTATGTGTTATTCCTGGACGTCAGCTTCCTGTATACAAAATTTTATCAAAATCGGTTCAGGCGTTCGAGCGTGAAGAAGTAACAAACACACACACACACTCACAAACTTTCGCAATTATAATATTAGTAGGATGTCGTCGGGGATAGTGCAAATCCAATAACTACCATTGGATAATTCCGAGTATCTACATTAGCGGCAGATTATCAGAAGGTTTGAGCTGAAATATTTTGTATATTAACGACTTTTAAGGTATTTTTTTTAACAATTAGTAATTCTCTAGTATTTAATTTATTAATTGTACAAAAATTACATTAAAAGTCGTTAATACAGAAAATATTTCAGCTTAAACCTTCTTCTGAAATCTGGTTCTATTGTAGATATGTGGAATTATCCAATGTTAGTTACGCGGATTTGCGCTATCCCTCACAATATGTAATAATGGATTAAGATATTTTGTATATATAATGTTGGATTCGGATATTTAGGGTATGAAATAGAAATAGAATACTTGAGATATATAATGCCAAATTAGAGTACTTGGTATATAAAATGTCAGATTGGAATAGTTGGAATAAGCAACATTGAATCAGGATCCTCTTGATATCTTATATTGCAATAATACATAGATATTTATACTTTTAAGGTATATGTAAATATTACTTAGTTCGGGCAAAAGTTATACATATACAAGAACAGAATATCAGATTTAGTTATCAATACAGAAAAAATTAAAATCAGATACAAATTGTTATGAATACTTGTACAAATAGGTTTTTAAATAATCATATAGATACAGGATATGAAAAGCGTCGAATTCGGAAAATCGTAGTAAAATACGAATTTTATAATATAGCAAATATACTATCCAAATATTTCTCAGAGAGAATTAATGTTTAGTAATTTAAATAATAACATAGATATTAAAATTAAATCTTAGTTTAATATGACGTTCATGAAAATTATTCCTATGATTTTAATGGAAGCAATGAAGGTTGTTTAATTTTATAAAAAATATAGATTATATAAAAGTATGAGAGTAGGTATAAGAAATATTTTTTGTGTTTAATTAATTATTTTTTGCTTGTGAAATGTAATTTTGCTAAGAATAGTTATAATTATTCATTTATGTAACTCATTGAGTACCAAATTATATGTTAAATACATACAATTTAGTTACTTGTTTTTTTTCAATAATTTATACCATTTATGTAACCGAAGCTAACAAATACTTCGTAATAATTTCGTATCCCTATCTGAAATCAACATTTTAATATTATGTATCCATTAAAGAAAATTTTAAATCCAAAACATCCAGTCATGTTTATAAGCATAATAATTCAAAAAGAACCTTATAGTTTTTAAGTATAACAATGAAATTTTTACATAATATTTCTAATCAGTAATTTTGCTTTCATTATAAACAAATTTCTATCCTATAAATATTTATAAAGCTAAAATAAAGTCCAAATCGGCTACATTTTTGCTAAATAAGGATCAATTTAATAGTTTTAATCAAAATGAAACAAACATTCACATATATACAAACTCATGAGATAATATTCCACTTTCAGTGTCAATGGATTTAGAAGGTAAGAATGCTTGGAAGGAGTGCTTCACAGTTGAAAATGTACTGCTACCAACTGGCTATTACTTTGGTGCATCAGCTACTACTGGAGACTTGAGTGACAATCATGACATAATAGCCATTAAGATGTACGAATTGGACTTACTTGATACGGTCAGTAAATATATATATATGTTTGACAATTTCCCAGCTATAGTCAGGGTCTGCCTTACATGTTGTGATTAGTTTTGGCTAATTGTTTTTACGGCCGCCTGCCCGACATCAACCCTCTTTTGGAAATGTTATATATTCATAATAGATCCTAAAATCAGTTTAGATGGAACTGGCATCCGCACAGTGAATCCATTGAATGCTAAGAGTTTTCGTCTCTATATCAAAGTGAAAGATTTTTGTAAATGGTTATATCAAATCACCCAAAAATATAATTAATTTTGATAAATAACTCAAGTTCGGCAAATATTTATAATTTCTCTACTGTCAGATATAAATGTTACAGTTTTACATGCATATATTTTACCAATGGCCTATTTCATCAATATGTTATGATATGTAATAATTAATATCATATTTCCAATATAATTAATATTTAGTTAATTATTTACTTTAGTATAGATCATAATCATATTGATATGGAAATATATTTTCAGCAAAAGGAAGAAGACAGATCTCACATAATACCATCGGCAGCAACATTTGAAGCTCCTCGGGACAGAGCAGAGGACCCTAAACCAGCTATGTCTGGTTTCAAAACCTTTCTATGGATGATGTTCATAGCTATCATCATCATAGTACTAGTTGTTCTAGGTATTATGTGGTACCAAAAAAGACAAGAACATTCTAGAAAGAGACTTTACTAATCATAACAGTGTTCCTATATCTTTGTTATATAATTTTGCTTAAATAAAAGTCCCAATATGTGGCAAAAAAATTATAACTCATAAATGACAACCCTACCTTTGTATGTATTATTATTTATTATATAATTTAATCTAAAAAGCTTTACCAACGGGTGTCAAATTTAGTTATTTGTTTGTTGAGTCCCTTAATAAGACTGTTCAAATAATATAAGTTCTAGTTCAGTTATAAAAATACATTAAATAAAGTCAGTGACTTTTCTATCAGAGAGATATATGTAGCTTTTTTTAAACATCACAATATTCAAATTAAATAAAATTCATAATACATATTAGAAAAGCTAGTTAAGAAAATTACATGCCCATATATTGTAGGGTCTCATAATACAATAATATTTTATTTATTTAACCAGTAATTGTAATAGTCTTTATTTTATGATTAAAACTTTTTAAATATTTGATTTGAGAGTAAGAAAACAAAGATTTAATCAAAATTTCATATTGGATATTATTTTTAATAATACAATAAATTGTTTATTTGGTATATAAGGCATTTCTAAAAAAAGTTAATAAATAAAATTTTTAATTGTAAATAAATGTTCATATATATGTAATTATTTAAATTACAATAATAATACTAAAGTAACATATATTGTATGTTTAAATAAATCAAATAAAAATGTCTTTCTGAAGTACAAGTAAATGTAAAGTTAGAATGTTCTTGTGTTATTAGAAATTAAACCTTAATTCCATATATTTCTATAAAAACAAGTCCTAAGAATAAATGTGGATGAGTAACGTGTGTATTGTGTTGAATAAAAAACTTTATAAGTATGCAGTTTTTTTATTTATTATCATTTTACTTTATTAAAGGTAATTACTTGATTTACAAAAAAATATGGAGACGGTTAAATAGGTAGGCTGGCGTGACCAATAAAGACTATGAAAGAAAAGCAGATAATAGATATATAAATTATGTTATTCAGTGCCGTGCACACCAAAGATGCAAATAAGCTCTGTTTACCCTGCCCATATAACAACTCAACCTACCTCATTTTATTTTAACTAAATGTTTTCAAATATTTTATGTGAATTTAATGTTTAGAAGACTTACGACGCGCAACATATTGAAAACATAATAATAATAATAATAATAAGTATTCTTTATTGTACACCAAAAGAATAAATAAGTTATACAGTAATTACCAAACTTGATCAAAATGTACAATTGGCGGCCTTATCGCTTAGCAGCGATCTCTGCCAGGCAACCATGTTACGTAGGACACAGTAAACAGTAATTAAATATTTCAGGTGTACATATATAAGAGAAAAATGTACTTATACGAAATTATATACATATATATATATATAGTAAACATATATATACTACATTCAATGTACAATAATCTATATATATAATTTATACAACAGTTTAAATATGACTATAAGTAACATACAATAATAAATTTACAATATAAGCCAGATACATCGCAGAGTAGGAGTTTATAATAAATAGTAAAATAAAAATCATAAATATTAAGGAAACAGGTAGACAAAATTTAAGGGGGGAAGAAGTTTGCTTTTAATAACCTTTTAAATATTGCTAGGGATTGAGCACGCCGTATGGTAAGTGGTAAGGAATTCCAGAGCCGTACAGCTTCCACAGAAAAGGATTTAGAATAGAAGGATGTATTGTGGGAGGGGATTTTTAAAATCAAGTTATCGTCAGAACGAAGAGAGCGACAATGAGAATCACTCAGGAATTCAAAGCGCTTTTTAAGGTATGAGGGAGAGGTAGGATTAAATAGGATATTGTATAATAGGGAAAGAAGTCAGTGGTGGCTCAGTGGTTAAAGGGCCCGCCTCTCGGCCTCTCGTCGCCGAGGGCGCGGGTTCGATCCTGACCCGGGCAAGTACCAATGTGATTTTTCGAAATCATATGTACTTTCTAAGAGTATTTAGACATCACTGATTAATGTTGATTCCCAAAAAGAGGGTTGATGTCAGGCAGGCGGCCGGTCGTAAAAACAAATAGCCAAAAACTATTCATAGCATGTAAGGCAGACCCTGGCTATAGCTGGGAAATTGCCAGGTAGAAGAATTGTATAATAGGGAAAGAATGTGAGTATTCCTGCGAAGGCGGATAGAGGGCCACTTGAGTTTTTCGCGAAATTCTGAAACATGGTCATATTTACGAAGTCCAAATATGAACCGTATACAAAGATTCTGGATGCGTTCAAGTTTATTAAGCAATTCCTCACTTAAATTCAGATAACAGGTATCAGCATAATCGAGAATCGGTAGCAGGAGAGATTGTGCAAGCACAATTTTAGTTGGTATCGGTAGAAAATTTCGCAATCTGCGAAGAGACCCGATAGATGCAAACACTTTCCTGCTCACCTCGCTTACTTGGGGGGTCCAGGTCAGAAATCTATCGAAAACAACACCTAGATTTTTAACAGTTTCAAATAGCGGCAAGAGCGGCGGTAGGCACAACTACTCGGTGCATATATGCCATACAAATAATCTCAAAACCGATCTACAAATCTCGTATTGTATGCAAGAAATGTATGCATGTGTGTGTGTGCAAAAACTATGCATATGTAGTGTTCAAGGAAGCAGTGCCTCTTAGGGTTAACCCTATTTGTTTAAAACGTCATAGAAACTGAGTTGATTGTCAAATTAAAAGGGTTAAGGGACAATCAAATTTTTCAGTATACTATTATTATAATTTTTACTCCATTTTGTTTTTATTGTCCTTCTAAGCGCAAGTGAATAAGTTTCAAGCAGCTAATTAGTAAATTTATAAACGAATTTCCCATAGGAAATTACAATAATTGTGAGCTCTGTAATATGCACTGTCCGTTATTCATTCTAAACTGTACCTTACTCACGCTTAACTTTACGTTATATGCTGTTTACCCTACCAAAACTCACTATGCACGCCTCTAATAAAGTTTACAATGAAAAGTAAATCACTTAAAATAGGCGTTTGAACTTACGAACTTTAGTAGTAAAATGTGACTCTGAAATTAAAATTGTACTCAACAAGTAGCAGTTAATACATATCGACCTCAATTCATCCAATTTCTTGAAGTACTAACCGTTTGAAAATATTTGTGGGAAATATACATGCATTGATATAATTTATATCTGACAATATTTTTGTTACTCTTTAAAAAATTACAAGTGAGGCAACTGTGACATCTCCCGTCAATTGTCAAATTTACACCGGCGCGGCGCGGCGAGGTGTAAATTATAATACTGCTTCAGTATCACTTTTTCTTTGTTTTTCATTTAATAAGGAAATATATTACGTTCAATACGAAAATAACAAATTGGCAATGGATTTTAAATCCTATCTGTTTTCTTGGGCAGCGAAAAAATCGCTTATACCAACCTTCGACATTCGGGCTACAGGTAATTCTTATTATGTTTACTTTTATCATTATCTTTTGAAGTTAATGTTAATCATTTTAACTATTCGTAATCTAATATAATGTCTTAATTATCATAAACAAAAACAATTTTGCGACAGATTACCATTCTGAAATGTGAATCTAATTTGATTATATTATTTTATAGGACCGAAACATCGCCAGCGGTTTCTTTGTGAGGTTCGCGTTGAAGGCCATACTTATGTGGGTGCGGGGAACTCTGTAACGAAGAAGGAGGCTCAGAAAAATGCTTCCCGTGATTTTATCAACTATCTCGTTCGTTCTGGTGAGATTTCACAGAAGGATGTCCCTGAAGATCTACAAACTCAGGTCTCCGATGAAACGGCCCCCACAGCCCCCACAGGGTCGGCAGGAACACAACAGATCAAGCCTGTGTTTCAGGTACACTTTAATAGTATCTTCTTCTACCTGGCAATTTCCCAGCTATAGCCAGGGTCTGCCTTACATGTTGTGAATAGTTTTGGCGATTTGTTTTTACGACCGGCCGCCTGCCTGACATCAACCCTCTTTGGGAATGCATTAATTAGTGATGTCTAAATACTCTTAGAAAGTACATATGACTCTGAAAAATCACATTGGTACTTGCCCGGGCCAGAATCAAACCCGCGCCCTTGGGCAACTAGAGGCGGGCCTTTTAACCACTAGGCCACCACTGACTAAAATTAATAGTATGAACTTACTTAAATTTTTTGTATTTAGTGTCAAATACTGCCAATAAATATTAGAATGTATGCATAATTAAGGTATTGAAATATTTGGTTTAAAAACATCAAATTATATAGATTAAATTATAATACAAAACCTGGCAAGTATCAATGTGATTTTTCCGAGTCATATGTACTTTTAAAAAGTATTTAGGCACCACTGAAAGACCATGAAAGAAAATATTGTGAGGAAACCTGGACTTATAATATCAAATTATAAGTTTGAAATCACCAACCTGTCTTGAGCAAGCGTGGTGATTAAAGCTCAAACCTTCTCCATGTGAGAAGAGGCCTTTACTCAGCAGTGAGTTTTAATAGACTGATGATGAAATCTTAATACACATATTGTTTTTTTCAAATACTAAATATTCATGAAATATTTGTATTAACTTCAAAGAAGTTAGGCAAATTTAGTTCTTATTTTGTTCATTAGTTAGGCAAACTTGTAGAATATATCAATTATACCCAAATATCTTTTCTTTGTATTAATTTAATTTCTGTCTTAACAGTTGGGTACTGGGCCGGAAACAATGGGGCAGGCTTACCAAGCTTATGGTGGTGAAAATGAAAACTTTACATACATGGATCGTCTACAACAACAGAAGAATGTTGAAGATGCAGAGGATCTCGATGTTAATGCGAGTCTCCACGGCAACTGGACTATGGAAAACGCTAAGTCGAAGCTACATCAATTCATGCAGATCAATAAAATTGATGTTCCATATGTATATAAAGCTGTCGGACCGGATCATACTAAGTGAGTGGAAATTCTGATAATTATGAATGTATATGTAGGAAATTTTAAATTAATATTTCTTACTCTTATTGCCTATCATTACATATAATTTCTGTTTATATTATATATCAAAGTTTTTATCTATGTTTATCAATTGAAGTAGCCATTACATTATTTTACAACAATTTATATACCAGCAATGAAATGTCAAATCCATTTGGCCATTAAGTTAAACTTTAAGAGTCACTAAAAGAAGAATTCTCAACACTCAAATGGCTGGAACGATTTGAATGAAATTTCTTGTATTTGGATAGTGCCCCAGATGGTTTATGTACACAAATCAGGCTGGCAGATGGCGCTGCAGTATTTATTTATAGGTTAAATGAAAGTAAGATATTCGGATTTTCTATGCTTTTTATATAAAGAAGTGGTATATCCGAAATTCTTGATTCTATTTACATGAATACACTCGAATTATTAGACATTGGTATCTAGTTTACTTAAAATGAAAACATTACCATATGTGTTGTTTTATCATACTATTCATTCATGGAGACAGAATATTAAATGTTTTGCACCATTTCAATATCTCTGCCTGGACATATATGTATTCGATATTGTGTTGCTTTTTTAACAATTGACTATTCTGAATGAATGAGCAGTCAATGGTTAAATTGACGAAAACAAAGAAGTGTGGCTGGACTTATAATGATAAAAATTTGTCGGCTGGTATGGATATGGAAGTGGGAAATAAATTACTTTTAAAATTTCATAAACTGTATAAAATATGATATAAAAAGCAAAAAAAATATAATTTAAATCATATCCATATCGGAGGACATAATAAAAATTAAGACAATTTCTGTTGAAGCATAATTTGCAAGATATTTGCAAAGTTTGCTTCAAATAACTTCACAAAGATCCCAAAACTATATAAGACAAGATGTTATTTGAATCAGAGACAATAATATAAATATATCAATAAATAAAAAATAATTAGTAATAAAAGTTATAATTTTTTATTAAGATAATTTTTCCTAAAAATTATACATTGGCATTATAGCAATGAATCATATATGATAATATTATAAAAAAAAAATCATGCTTTTTTTTATTTATATAATCTATTTGTTTTTTAAATAATAACTGACTGTCTCATATTGTTTTGGATACAGATTTTTGAATTATTTGTCACACAAGTCGGCCACACTTCTATAGTTTTGGCAAAAAAAGGCTCCATAATTGACCAAGTAAGTATATTTTTTTGTTTGATATTAAATAAGTTATTTCAATATCCCACTATTTTATACATGCATGATAAATAATTTTTTAATTGTAAGTTTATTGCCAAAGAAATCTTATATTATTTTTAATATGTTATTCGATTAGGACTAAAAATTAAAAAAATTACATGTTTTTTTTATTGTGTCATACATATACAGCCATCAATGTATGTATATAAAACCTTTTTAATCAAAGTTTCTTTCCAAAATATTAAATTATTCTTAATCTAGGAGTTTCTGCTGTGAGATGACTATATACGTGCATCAACTGGGACGCAATGTGACCGGCCGTGAGACCGCATCGAACAAACAGACTGCTAGCAAATCCTGCGCTCTGTCACTAGTGAGACAATTGTATCACCTCGGTGTGATTGAAGCCTTTAGCGGTACACTCAAGAAGGACAGGTAATGAATAAATCTATGTATCTATTCTAGACTATTGAATCTTTAAGGACTATAATACATATTAGGGATTTAGATTTAGGGTTTAAAAAAATATTCGAATTATTATCCCTAGATTTATTCCTGCTTTAGCTAATTAATTATTCATCCAATCGTAATTGTAATTTTTACTTCCTAATTTTTTTAGTTCAATTACTTTACACACGCTGATACAACTAGGTTACTTTTGAAGCAACTCGTATATATTTTTTCCTATAGAGAACTAATAAAATTGACTGATAATGTAAATTATGTGTCTGATAAAATGTATTGTATTATTCAGATCAGCCGAAAACGTAATGAAGCCGTACAAAGTGGTCATCAGTCCCCAGTTGGAGGAGAAACTAGAAAATACATTAAAAGGTGAACATTAAATTATAGTGTGTAACTGCCCTAAATAGCCAGTGTATCCTTAGCCAATACATTAGTGTGTAACTGCCCTAAAGGACCGCTCAATATGGTTTCTGAGCCGAAAATTTACTAACTACCTTCAATATTCCCTGGTCCATAGATATTTTTCTACTAATATATTAAACAAATTCTAAAATCTAATATTTCTGATATCAAAAAAATTCTTGTCTAATTCTGCTCTTCTACACCAAATGGTAGTAATTAAATCATTTTTAAATATAAGTGAGAAAGGTCCAAATATATATATTTTGTTTTCTCAGATCTGAACATAGAACCAGTTTATATAGAGCAAAAAGTAAACCAAGATTCTGGCTCGGGTGTTACATTATTACAAGACGATAGAGTGAAGGCTTTGAAGGAAGTCAAACAAACCACTTCCGGTGTAGTATCATGGTCGCCGCCTCAAGCCAATTGGAATGCATGGACTGGATTTAATATTGGTTAGTATTTGAACATTTCTATGGATATTCAGAGAGATTTATGCTTTACTAGCTGCGCCCCGCGGTTTTCCCCGCGGATTTCCGGGATGTAAAGTAGCCTATGTGTCATTCCCGGACGATAGCTTACTGTATACAAAATTTTATCAAAATCGGTTCAGCCGTTTGAGCATGAAGAAGTAACAAACATACACACACACTCACAAACTTTCGCAATTATAATATTAGTAGGATAACTGTTGGGTTATAGTTCTTTTTTGAATGTATAATATGTAGATAATTAGTTTAAATATGATCATACCTATAAGTTTTTCAGTTGAATCACAAGTGATTTTTGGTCCAAATTTATCTTATATGACAAAAATTCATTAAGTTTTTAAGAAATTTTCATTTGGAATTCAATATCTAAGTATCTTCCTAATAAATATATTTTTACAGTATTGTTATTATACTATAAATTAATTAATTAATTTCTCTCATTTTAGATGAGGGCCCTTTAGCATCAGCGACTTTGGAGAGCATCTCCAATGATTTGGAAAGACGTCATCGCGATTTGTGTCAGAACAGTCAAATATATCAGGTATTATATATATGTTATTTTAATACTATTTTAAATTGAACATATATTTGTTATAAACAATATATTATGTCAGTGGTGGCCTATTGGTTCAAACCTGGCAAGTACCAATGTGATTTTTCGGAGTCATATGTACTTTCTAAGAGTATTTAGACTCCACTGACATACGGTGAAGGAAAACATCGTGAGGAAACCTGGACTTATAGTTTCACAATTATAAATTTGAAATCACCAATCCGTCTTGAGCAAGCGTGGGGATTAATGTTCAAACCTTCTCCATGTGAGAAGAGGCCTTTGCTCAGCAGTGGGCTCTGATAGGCTGATGATGATGATGAAGCTATATGTTTTTTTTTAGGAAAGTCTCAAAGAAAGGGAACAATTGCCAGTATATAGCATGAAATCGGAGATAATGCAAGCTATTAATGACAACCCCGTGGTTATAATACGTGGCAACACTGGCTGTGGGAAAACTACACAGGTGATTAGTTACTGGTATAAGATAGTATATAAGTATTAAAAAAAAATATTCTAAATATACGTTCATACTAAATTGGAATTAAAAAAGTAAAAGCTAAGAGTAAGAGCTTTTCTATTATAGTTTATAAATTTATTCTGTTATAATACTTTAAAAATACCCTTTATTTACTTTTATTACATATAATTTATACTACCATAAGTCACAGAGAATTACTTTAAGTAATAGTTTATCTAAAACTTTACATGATTCACCCAATCCAACGCTATCCTAAAAACAGTGCGCACTTCAATACTTTATTATCACTTATTTGAATTATTTCTTCCTTTATTTTCATTTAATATATGGGATAACTAACTATTTGTTGAAATATAAACTAAAAGTATCAAAATTTCTTTCTACCCTCATATTAATATTCTTATTATTAAAGGTGTGTCAATTCATTTTGGATGACTATATAGCGAGTGGTTCCGGGTCGTATGCGAATGTATGTGTGACGCAACCAAGACGTATATCAGCAGTTAGCGTTTCTGAGAGGGTTGCCGCAGAGAGGTGTGAGGAATTAGGGAATAGTGTGGGGTAATTAATATATATTAAAATTTTAAGATTATTAATATGTGTTCATACATTTTTTTTACATGTTCTGAATATTATTGGTCAGTTTTTCAATTATATGCTATATTTAAATTCAATTTAGTATTATTTTGAATAGTCATAACTCATAATGATTTTTTTGAAAGACAATATATAAGAACTTCGAATAAGCTTATAGCTAATAAATAAAACAATAAAAACTTGAGTTATAATAGTAATGTAAATTTTTCTTTCATTATTATACCTTTTTAAATAATATTAATATTTTTCTTTCAGCTACTCAGTCCGTTTTGAGTCTGTATTACCACGTCCGTACGGTTCTATACTATTCTGTACTGTAGGAGTTTTATTAAGAAGACTTGAAGGAGGGCTACGGGGAGTTAGCCACGTTTTAGTCGATGAGGTTAATATTATTAACACTTTATATACAAATATATTAGTAAACGTTGTTTTTTTTTTTACCAAATTTTGCGCCAATAATGTTAATTTGATGATATTGATGTATTATTAAACTTGATAGATATAAAATTCATAAATTAATAGTTTTTTTTGGTTCCCGTCATTATAGATGAAAAATTAATATTATTATATAAATATTAACCTTTTATAGATTTTATTGATTGATTATTCATAATAGTTTAAGGAAATAGTGTTATTAATATATTAACTATTACATTATAATACTAGAAAATATATAGTGTAAAAATTTTGAAATGCAATATATTCAATATATATCTCCATCTTGCTCTATATCTCTGTCTCTTTCCAACTACTTTCAAACTCTATTTCTATCTCTTTCTCTCTCAGGTGCATGAAAGAGACGCAGATACAGACTTCGCACTCATCCTTCTACGTGATATGGCCCACACGTATCCCGAACTACGTGTCATATTAATGTCAGCTACGGTCGATACGTCGCTCTTTGTTGAATATTTTGGCAATTGTCCCGTTATAGAGGTAATTTTTAAGTTATTTATATACAGGGTGACTGGTGAATTACTATCGATATTTGAGGACGTGATATTTGACGATCATATATGACAAAATAAAAATTAATATAACACAAATATTAATAAACTTCAGAGTAAAGTTAACCAAAAGTTATGTAATTAATTACGCATCGTGTGAACACCCTACAGATTAGGTATACGCACACACACACACACATACGCGTGCAGCGGCGATGTGTTGTATCAGCACGCCGCAGCACGCGTCCACACTTGGAACACTTGGAACGTGTCAACACTTTATTTATTTATACGGAAATTTTGTCAAAAATTAAGTGCCTATTTTTTTTACATAATTCGAATGAGAATCGTGTACCGAGTATTCTCCTTAAATATTGATAGTAATTCACCAGTCACCCTGTATATATATGCTTAAGTAATAAATGATTTTTTTTGCACACTAAAACTACTAAAAATATTTATAATTATATATTTTGTATGACTGGTAGCGAAATAATCAGCATATGACCTAAGAATATGCATATTTTTATATATGTATAGATAATACATGTCTTTCATACATATAAGATCTATTTAAGTAATAAATGCTATTAAATATTAATTATATAAATTATAATCCCCTACTTTTCAGGTGCCCGGCCGTACATTCCCAGTAAAGCAATATTTTCTAGAAGATTGTATCGAATTGACCAAATTTATACCTCCACCGGATACTCGGAAACGGAAGTTGTCAGCCAAGAAGCCTGGGGATGACGATGATGATGAAGGTCTTGTTTACCACGAGTTTGAACCACTTTTGTGTTACTCATTAATGATAGTATTAACCAGTGGCGGCTGTTCCTTAAATGCACTCGTGCGCTGAACCACCAATTCAAAAGATTTAAAAATTACAAAATATTATTCATCTTTATTTTTAAATTATGTACCATTTTAATATTTATTTTTTAGACATATAAAAACGTATAAAAAAATGAATTTCCTAATTATGATCAAAAAGCTTGAGCGCTTTACTAAACTCATATCGTGCGCTTCGGCGAGTGCACGAGGACTCCTAATACATCTTGTATGAGATACGCATTAATACGCCTGACGCGTGAAACAAAAGATCGTTCATAGAAATGTATATTCTAAGAGCTAGCAACGTTTTTGAACGAGAATTTCAGGTAGGCTAGTTTTTAGATATGCTATCTCTCACACTCCTCTGGACGTCATACGGGCTATCTGGCTGCCGGTAGTGGTTGCGTTCATCAGTGCGCATCGTACTTGTGCAGGTAAACGAATTATTATTTCAAATCATTTTAAGAAGGTTTTTTTTTTTATTATTATTTTTATTGAACTATTCACAACATAAATTTATTATTGCCAGATATTTTTATTGTTGTTTAAACGGTGCCAAACGGCAATGTTGAATTAAAAAAAAATTTTTTCAAAGTATTTTAGTATAGCTGAAATTTTAATAGCATGTTATTTAACTATCTAAAAGCTCAGAATTAATTTACCAGACAAAAAATCGGTTGTTAAACCTTTTGCCAGATCGAAATAAAGTGTAAAGAGATGTAGTATCATTTAGCTTGGTCTAGAAAATTAATCGTCTAATAAATGATGGAAGAAGGATTAAAAACTATTGAATTTATTTATAGATGAATACGGTATAAAAATAATAATTCATTGTTGTACAAAATTGAGATAATGATCAATGTTAAGTTTGAAAAAGCGCTCTGGCTACCGAAAGACTAACCGCTTCACGTATGATTTCTAAAACTCTATCGTATAATTTTGAAAAAAAGTTCCATAATTTTGATCCATCAAGTCTACCACCGAGTAAAGCTGAGTTATATCAACACTTACTACGAGTTCGTTATGTCACAACGTTTTGGAGAAATGCTTATTTAAAATACCCAACATCTCTACCACCTCAAGCTTCTGGCTGGACCATTAATGATGATAAATATGATTTTATCTGGTTTGTTGGGGAGCAATTACCAACATTAGTTGCCGATATTATTATTAAAGGTAAAAATTTGAACTAAAATACAAAAAAAAAAATATTCTCGAAAGATATTAAAATTTTTGATTCTATTACAGTTAACAGCTTATTACAAAATGATAATAATTTTAAGGACGATGATGACCATGGAAATGACAGCAGTGATGAAGATGATGATCTTTTTCAAACTTAACATTGATCATTATCTCAATTTTGTACAACAATAAAGTATTATTTTTATACCGTATTCATCTATAAATAAATTCAATAGTTTTTAATCCTTCTTCCATCATTTATTAGACGATTAATTTTCTAGACCAAGCTAAATGATACTACATCTCTTTACATTTTATTTCGATCTGGCAAAAGGTTTAACAACCGATTTTTTGTCTGGTAAATTAATTCTGAGCTTTTAGATAGTGAAATAACATGCTATTAAAATTTCAGCTATACTAAAATATTTTGAAAAAATTTTTTTTTAATTCAACATTGCCGTTTGGCACCGTTTTAACAACAATAAAAATATCTGGCAATAATAAATTTGTCTTGTGAATAGTTCAATAAAAATAATAATAATAATAAAAACCTTAAAATGATTTGAAATAATAATTTGTTTACCTGCACACGTACGATGCGCACTGATGAACGCAACCACTACCGGCAGCCAGATAGCCCGTATGACGTCCAGGGGAGTGTGAGAGATAGCATATCTAAAAACTAGCCTGAAATTCTTGTTTTTTTGACGTTGCTAGCTCTCGTACCAGTACCGAGTAATGAGTCGGTTCTCGAGCGCCGCACGAGCGACCGAAGATTACCGAGAGCACCCGATGTATGACGAATTGAGCCATGATTGAAATCTCGTTATATTGTTTTGTTGCATTTTCTAATTTTTATATTTTAGTAAAGTGCACCACCAGTTCGATTACCCACCGGCCGCTACTGGTATTAACGTAGGTTTAGGAGTTAAAACCGTAAATGCTCCATATGTAGTGTGACGATGCAAACTTTTGTTAAAGATTATAAAGACTAAATTAAGAATAGTCATAAAAATTATTCCATTAACATTTTATTTGTTACATCATTATAATTTTTTAATCAGAGGTACATTTAGGTTTAATTGGTTGTATAAAATTTAATGGGTTAAATAGTTTCTGTTATATACAATATTAAGCTTATGTATATGTGCAATGTAACATACATAAATACACACACACACATACACATGCACGCACAAATATATGTCTAGGTTATATTAATAACTAGCTTTCCTTTCAAAAGTCTGGGATAAAAGCTATCCTATGTTCTTTCTCGAGGTCAACTCTGAGTCTGTACCAAATTTCATTACAATCAGTTCAGTGGTTTAGGCGTGAAAGCGAAACAGACAGACAGAGTTACTTTCGCATTTATAATATTGGTAGGGATTAATTCAAGTAACTAAGTCAAAACATTTTATTATCAATATTATTTAAAATGTAATCAAAAAACTCTTTTTTTCTCTCTTATTCATCATCATAACATTGAAATATATTTTTTCTATACTAATATTTTCTAACATTATTTTCGCAGGTTTCGGAATGGATGACGAGGAGGATTTGAATAAAAATAATCAATTAAGCCCATCAGAGTATTCACAACACACTATAGACGCTATGTCTAAATTATCAGAGAAAGATGTTTGTATTACAATACTTTATTGTTTAAATAGATAAATTAATATCATAGAAAATCACAATAAATATTTTTGTATTTTATTTCATATAAAGAGAAAATATTAATATAAATGAAATAATGAAGAAAGTTTAATACATCAAAAATATTAATTCTGTCTCATTTAAGTGAAGTTATCTATAAATAATTAATTTTTAAGAGCATATATTATGAATAGTTTGTATATGTGTATATATTATTTTTCCAGTTGAGTTTCGAGTTAGTAGAAGCTATATTAACCTACATCAGCAGTCAGAATGTAGAGGGCGCTGTACTAATATTTTTACCGGGATGGAATTTAATATTCGCGTTAATGAAGCATTTGATGAATAACAGTATATTTGGTGACCCACAAAAATGTATAATCCTGCCATTACACAGTCAGATACCACGAGAGGATCAAAGAAAAGTTTTTATAACCCCTCCGCCTGGTGTGATGAAGGTAGTTACATATTCTATTATATTAATCATTATTTTAATATCGCTGAATGTAAAAATGTTCTCGTTTTTCTATATACTTACCAAATGTTTACGAATACAAAACTAACGATATAAAAACATTACAATGTTACAAGTTTTTCATTGATATTAAATCAATCATTTAATTGATGATTGATAACAGTTAGTAGTTTTGTAAACATCTGGTAATATTATAATTTTCATAGTTACTTGTGGGTAACGACTATATACATATATAAAGTCTATAACATAGAAATGCCGACAATTTCTTAATTATTTTATATAGCCATACTATTATATAAGAATTATTGGCTTTTTTTATGCTTAAACTAATTTTTATGTATATTCCAGGTAATATTATCAACGAACATAGCGGAGACATCAATAACAATCAACGACGTGGTGTACGTTATAGATTCATGCAAGGCCAAGATGAAGTTGTTCACTTCACACAACAACATGACGTCATACGCTACCGTGTGGGCCAGCAAGAGTAACATAGAACAGGTAATAATACTAGCTTTCCGCCCGCAGCTTCGCCCGCGTGGAGTTCGATTATATATTTACAAGAGAACCTTTCAAATTTCTAGGATAAAAACTATCCTATGTTCTTTCTTAAGGTCAACTCTGTATGTACCAAATGTCATTAAAATCAGTTCAGTGGTTTAAGCGTGAAAGCGCAACAGACAGACAGAGTTACTTTCCCATTTATAATATTAGTAGGGATAATTGATGGTAGTTTGATAAGATTTATAGTGTTTGAAACAGTTTGTAATAACTAAAGTCACTAGTGTATTATGTCATGTCATTTTATGTCATGTTATATTATTTTGTCATGTTATATTTCATGTTGAGGGTAGTTTGATAAGATTTATAGCGTTTGAAACAGTTTGTAATAGCTAAAGTCACTATTATGTTATGTTATGTCATTTTATGTCATGTTATGTCATGTTTTATGTCATTCACAGCGTTCAGGTCGCGCGGGTCGTGTTCGTGCGGGTGTGTGTTTCACTCTGTGTTCCAGGCTCCGTTTCTCTCGGCTCGAATTACATCAGACAGCCGAGATGTTCAGGACGCCATTACATGAACTCGCTTTGAGGTAATTAGATATACATATACAGGGTGCCTGGTGAATTACTATCAATATTTAAGGAGAATACTCGGTACATGATTCTCATTCGAATTATGTAAAAAAAATAGGCACTTAATTTTTGACAAAATTTCCGTATAAATAAATAAAGTGTTGACACGTTCCAAGTGTTCCAAGTGTGGACGCGTGCGGCGGCGTGCTGATACAACACCACGCCGCCGCACGCGTATGTGTGAGTGTGTGTGTATACCTAATCTGTAGGGTGTTCACACGATGCGTAATTAATTACATAACTTTTGGTTAACTTTACTTAGAAGATTATTAATATTTATGTTATATAAATTTTTATTTTGTCATATATGATCGTCAAATATCACGTCCTCAAGTATCGATAGTAATTCACCAGTCACCCTGTATATACTGTAGTACTAATAATTTAGATAAGAATCAAAAAATAATTTTATTGAACTACGTAATGCTTAATACTTAAAATTTCGTTTTGGGATTATTTCAAATTTTATTTTTATTTAAGTCTAAGATTTTAGCGAATATTCATGTAAAAGAGTATTATTATATTATTTTTAAATTTCATACTCCCTAAAATTATCTTCCAACCCTTTCTATCCGTGATAACAGTTGCTGCAAAGTAACCGAAACTCCGGGAGTATCTTGCATATAATTCTAAAATATAAGTTTCATATGTATGTATAATATTATTTTGTATATATTTCAGTATTAAACTACTTCGTCTGGGTAACATCGGTCATTTCCTGTCCAAAGCGCCCGAGCCTCCCCCACTAGACGCAGTCATAGAAGCCGAGGCTTTACTGAGGGAACTTGGCTGTTTGGACTCAACTGATAATATAACTCCGCTAGGGACTATACTCGCGAAATTACCTATAGGTATGGTTTTATATATATCTGCGCCCCGCGGTGTTACCGGATTTCCGGGATGTAAAGTAGCCTATGTGTCATTCCTGGACGTCAGCTTCCTGTATACAAAATTTTATCAAAATCGGTTCAGCCGTTTGAGCGTGAAGAAGTAACAAACATACACACACACTCACAAACTTTCGCATTTATAATATTAGTAGGACAAGGCCTCATAAATCTAATTGTCAATGGTGTCTAAATACTCTTAGAAAGTACATATGACTGGAAAAAATCACATTGGTGCTGCCAGGTTTCAACTATTGTATAAATAGTTTGTTTAATGAAGTAGGCTTTATTTGTCAAGCTACTCAATCTCCCAGGAATTTTTTAAGTTTTTTAACTCATTCATAATGTTTATCTTGTATTCTGTATCATTTTATATATTTTAACAAAAATTGCTACTTCTATAGATATTTCTAGAACGTCACAAGTATCTCCTTACGTTTTCATTATTAATCTTGTGTATATGTCTTATATTTATTTATTTAATTACAAAAAGAGTACGTGTAACATTGTTTTACATTTAAAGGTGTTAATATAAATTCATTCAAGTTTTTCCGAACACCAGTGTCGTCAATTTTACATTTTACAATTATATAACCAATGCATAACATTAAAATAACTAAAGAAACAAACTAAACAAGTGAGATAAAATAAAACAAAGATATTCGATACAACTAAAATACAAAAAAAAAAGAATCTAACTACATAATAATGTTTATATATAATATTTCAGAGCCCCGTCTCGGTAAGATGATGGTGTTGGGTTTCGTGTTACGTGTGGGTGATGCCCTTACCACGATGGCAGCTAACTCGACAACGTTCCCGGAGATTTTCGTGGTAGAGGGTCGGAGACGGCTGTCCGGACACCAGAGGGCGCTGGCCGGGGATAGAAGCTCGGATCATATAGCTATGTTGAATGCCTTCCAGGTAATATATATATAAAAAAAAAAAAATTTGCCTTTTTTGCTGTTTAAATTACAAAAAAACTACTTATAACAAATAACTACATTTTATAATATTATCCTATTTCTTAACCTAATCTTAAAATACTTATAATTAAATGCCTTCATTGACGTTCGTTTTAAAAACAGCTTGTCTTTCGACATAGGCCTCCTCTAAAGACTTCCACTTTTCTCTCTCCTTGGCTACCCGGATCCATAATGGACCGGCCACTTTTTTAAAGTCGTCCTCCCATCTTTTAGCTGGTCGTCCCTTTTTTCTTTTTCCATCTCTCGGGTACCACTCTGTTACAATTTTCGTCCATTTCTCTTGATGTTCCCTTAACATGTGCCCTGTCCATCTCCATTTCTGTGTTCGATATAATGAACGTGCTTGAGTAAATTGTGTTTTCTTTTTTATTTCTGTTAGTCTTACTTTATCTTTCTTCTCGATTCCAATAACACTCCTCTCTATACTATTTTGGCAGACGTTTATTTTTTGTTCTAACTTTTCTGTTAATGCCCAAGTTTGGCAGACATACATTAAGCATGGTAGAATGCACATATTATATACTTTTCTTTTTTCTTTGATTGGCATATTCCTATCCTTCATAACTTCACTTAGTGACCAGTATCTCTTCCAAGTATTGGCTATCCTCCTGTCTATTTCCTTTTGCATGGTTTTTGTAGGTGATATTAATTGTCCTAAGTATACATATTCATCTACGTATTCTATTTCTTGCATGTTGACTGTGATCTTAAGTGTCTTCGGAGAGTTAGTCATAACTTTTGTTTTCGTAAGGTTCATTGTTAGTCCTGCTTCTCTACTCTGATCTGACAGTTGTTGTAGCATATGTTGTAATGTTTTAGGACATTCGGAAAACACTATTAGATCGTCTGCAAAACGTAGATGGCTCAAATTTTCGCCGTATATATTTAATCCATATTCGTTCCATTTTAGGTTCCTAATTATCATCTCTAGGACTGCTGAAAATAGTTTAGGTGACACAGGGTCCCCTTGACGAACGCCTCGCTCTATGCGGAATTCCTCTCCTGGTTTTTCCAATCTGACTTGTGCTGTACTTCTGGTGTATATATTGTTTAAAATTTTTATGTATTTTTCCTGTATATTTTGAGCTCGCAAAGCTTCCCATATATACTCATGTTCCAGGGAGTCAAAGGCTTTGTTATAGTCTACGAATCCCAAAAAGTAAACTTTATTATACTCATTATATTTCTGTATAATTTGTCTCAGAACGTGAATGTGGTCTATGGTTGAAAATTTACTTCGGAAACCTGCTTGTTCCTTTGGCTGGTTTGCGTCGAGTTCTGTGGTGATTCTGGATAAAATTATTTTTGAAAAGACCTTATAAATGTTAGACATTAAACTGATTGGACGATAATTTCCTATTTCCCCTTTATCACCTTTCTTGTGTAACAAAATGATTGTTGATTTTGTCCAGTCTTGTGGGATGATTTCCGTTTCTATAATTTCATTATATAAATCTGTTAATATAGGAGCAATTACTGGTAAAGTGCTTTTGAGTAGCTCGTTGGTTATTTGATCAGGCCCGGGTGTTTTGTCCCTTTTTTGTGAATTAATGGCTTTAGCAGTTTCTTCCTTCAATATTTTTGGTATTGGCTCGGAGTTCAATGGGTAGTGTCCTTCTGCGGTTATTTTTGGATTCTTGCTTTTATAGAGTTCTCTGTAATAGTCTGTAGCCACCTTAATTATCTCAGGTCTTTTCCTTGTGTGTGTATTCTTAGTTTTTACTGATAGCATCCATTCTTTTTTCCCATTTAATTCTTTGATAGCCTTCTTTACTCCACCCGTTCTACTTATATGTTTTTCTAATGTTTCCTGCCTCTTACTTTTCCTATCTTTTCTAATGCTTAAATTTATCTTTTTACTGACTTCCGTTACCTTGTTTCTGATTTCTCTATTACTTTCCTTTGATTGTAAAAGCTTTCTCCTTTCTTCAAGTAACTGTTGAGTTTCTATAGATACTATTTTCTTTATATTTACTTTTCTAGTTTCTGGTTTAATTGCGTTTAGAAACCTTGCATATTTTTCTTCAATCGGTGTCGATTCTTCTTTGAACATTCCTTCCAGCGCTTTTAGGTTATTTATAAGCATGCTATTACCAGTACTTATCACGGCTGAGCTATTGTTTTGCCATCTCCTGTTCTTTTGTATAGGCTTGCCTGTCAATGTAGCACGAACCATTCTGTGATCTGAATTGAAGTTTAGATTCTGTATTACAGCGACATTTTTAAAAATTTTAATATTATTGGACATTATAAAATCTATTTCATTTTTATAGGCACCGTTGGGAGAAATCCACGTCCATTTCTTTGATTCCTTTTTCTTAAAGAAGCTATTGAGAATACTTAGTTTATTTTGTAAAGCAAACGAAACAAGTCTGGCACCGTTTTTACTTCTTTTACCATGCCCATGTTTGCCAATTGTATGTTTTTCGCCTTGGTTACCGCAAATTCCTATCTGACCATTAAAATCTCTCATTACTATAATATTTTTGTGTGCATTTTGAATCGTTTCTTGTAAATCCCTGTAGAATTTCTCTATTTCTGTTATATCATTTTTGTTACTTGGTTCCGTTGGCGAATATGCTTGGATAATAGACCATTTTTCTTCTTTGTTTAGAGGCAGTATTATGTTAAGGATAGTTATTCTTTCAGTGACTCCTTTAATTTCAATAATTTTGTCCGTTAATTCTTTTTTAATTAGGAAACCCACTCCATATTGTCCTGGTGTCTCGCCAATATGGTGTAGAATGTAGTCCCCGTAGTCATATATCGTTTCTCCAAGTCTTCTCATTTCGCTTATTCCTATTATGTCCCATTTTAATTTCGATAAAGCCATTTCAAGCTCTTGGAGTCTCTCCGGTGTCCTTAATGATCGTGTATTGAAAGTTATTATATGTATATCTGATGTTTGTTTATTTTTATTTAGAGGGTCTTGGTCTTTTTCCCCCTCGAGGACCAGTCGGCTTGGGGGAGTGTTTTTTGTTGTTATATTTTTTAATTTATTAGTCATTGATTTCTGTTTCCGTTCGCCGATAAGTAATTGCTAATGTTCGTTACCTGGTATTGTTAAAGAACTCGAGCTGCTTCTCATCAAATCGAATGCATTGGTTCTGCTTTTCGTTTGTTGTTTTTTTGGTTGAGGGTTAGCGTATGGGGAAGCTGATGGTTCCCTTTTTCTTCTCTCGTTAATATTCTTATTTTCTTTGATTATCAGTTTGTCGTACTTTAAGTAAGCGATATTTCCTTTATTCCTCTCTTCATTTAGTTTTGGTAGTAGTGCCTTCCTTTTTTCCAGAGTTTCTTTAGAGTAATCTTCTGTAATGTATAACACCTTTGACTTTTTCCTGTTCCTCAATACTTCACTCTTTTTCCAGCCATTTACGAAAGATAAAAGAGTAGGCCTGGGCTTATCTTGGTTTATTGTTTTTCCAATACGGTATATTTTGTTTATGTCATTATCTCCTAAAGTAATGCTTAATTCATTTTGGAATTTTTGCTTCGTAAAACTAATCAGTTCCGTGGTTGATTCTTCCCCCTCATTCAATCCATATATTATGATGTTGTTGCTTTTCTTATCTCTTTCTAAAAATTCTATTTTACTTTCCAGTTTTTCTACCTGTACCTTTAAATTTCTATTTTCTTCTAATATTGATTTAAATTTTTCATCCATTCTTTCCATGATAGTGTTGGTTATAGACTCTGTTTGATGTTGCATTTCTATTTTCATTTTATTAAAAAGAAGTTGAAATTGATCATCCATGGTTTGCGTGTAATGAAACGTTCCAGTAGAAATTTAAATTGTTCGTTGGCAACTCTGATGGCCGTGACGTTCTTCACTATTGAGGGTATTTGTAAATAATATTGACTGTTCTTTAAATATTACTGATATGTCAACTAACTTCCGAGTTCTGTAGTATTTTCTTATCTTTGTATTTTTGTCGATGAACGTAATTACACAATGACGATTTCTTTAATCACTTCGTGCCACCAAGTGTATCACTTAAACAGGTTTTGTTTGTTAAGACTGCGATTGTAAGTATTTTATTTTAAGTTTTGTTTCGGAACAACACTGTAGGGATGTTTATATCACGACTACCGGAAACAAGATCCAGGTAATATATAAATGTATATATATTATATATAGGAAGGTCGTTTGAGTTTTAAAAAAGTGTATAACAATTTTTTTTCCATGTGTTGTGCAATAAAGCATTTTAAATAAATAAAAATGATATATGATATTTTGACAATGAATTTTAATTAAAATGAACAAATATAAAAGGTAAAAGGTAAATTAATTAACAAAATAATGAATTGCACACATCAGTATAAAAAATAAACTACTTATAGAGTAATATGCTTAAAATAGCCTTAAAATTAAATGCTAACACAATAACCACACAATTTTTGAGCGATGTCATTACGATTACCGACAACCGAAAAGTGAGCGTGCGTCTGTTTCTTCATTTAGAAGTTCCATACTATATATATAAAGAACTTATATTATACATAATAAGTACATATGTATTTATATATTATAATATATTTGATAGATGTGGGAAGGAGAACGATCTAAGGGAGAGGATGCGGAAATAGCTTGGTGTGAGTGGAAAGGACTTCAACAAACTACATTGAGGGTCACTTGTGAGGCTAAATATCAGTTAATAAGTAAGTCATAAAGACTATAAATAATATGAAAATGTATAAAAAATATACACAATACATACTAATTAATTGAATGTTTAACTTATGTGTGACTTAGATTTGATTTTAATATAGAAAATAAAATATATTTACAGATTATTAACCTGTTTTTAGTTAGTGTCTTTTGTTAATGCTATATTTAATACACAAGAAATTAAGAAAATTAATAAATATATATTAAAATAATGTTTAATATTTACAGATATTCTCACAACATCTATTGGTTTTCCTGAGGAATGTTGTATACCTCGAAGATGGCTTCCAAATGTATCGGACCCTGAATTAGATTTAGTTATAGCTCTGCTTTGTATGGGGTTGTATCCTAATGTATGTTTACATCAAGGAAAACGAAAGGTTAGAAAGAAATTATACTTTTATACTCTAAACTATTTAATAATTTGAGCTTTATCATGAAATTTGTGATTTTTATAATCTATATGTATATCAAGCCTATAGATCATGATAATATGCTAATTCTCAATATATAATAAAATCATTGTTGAGGCTACATATATAATATTATAGATTTGCTACATGTAATTCTTTCTCTGTATTGATAGTTATTAAATAATCTTCATTCTATCAAGTTGTCACTACTATTATGAATTATTCAAGTACATTTATATATAATCTTAATGGTAGTATAATGTGTTCCTTAAGAAAAAATAAAATACTGAAAATTAACATTGATATTTTAATATGTAAGTGACATAGTAAATACTACTTAATGTTATAGATATTGACAGTTTATATTTCATTGCAGGTGTTAACAACAGAAGGCAAGCCGGCTTTGATTCATAAGACATCTGTTAACTGCAGCAATCAAGAACAATGTTTCCAATCTCCATTGTTTGTGTTTGGTGAAAAGGTTAGTTTTGAGCTGTTTATATACATATAATCCCTACTAATATTATAAATGCGAAAGTAACTCTGTCTGTCTGTTACGCTTTCACGCCTAAACCACTGAACTGATTTTAATGAAATTTGGTACAGAGATAGATTTGACCTTGAGAAAGAACATGGGATAGTTTATATCCCAGAATTTTGAAAGGTTCTCTTGGAAACCCGATATAACCGAACTCCAAGCGGGCGAAGCTGCGGGCGGTGAGCTAGTATATAATATTTGTTTGTATTACATGTGAAATTCAGTAATATTTAAACATTCCAGTTTATATTAAGAAATTTACTCAATAAATATATATTTTTATATACTCACATCTCCATAATACATATATGTATATGTACTAGTTTTTACACATTATCTTACAGTATGTTTGTCAATGTACCAGATTATGGCTGGATAAATTTGAATAATTTTTAATATATATTTGGGTAGTTTCCTCCTAGTAGCTTACTTAAAATGAAAAGGCTACAACATAGATTACTATAAGCATTGTTTTAAGACACTATACCTTTCTCTATAAGAACAAAAAGAGGAGTCACGGGCAAAAACTAGTATATATTTATGAATGGAGGAATTTTTATGAAATATCAAATTTTGTATAAGATATATTATTTATTTAAAGGTCCGTACTCGCGCGATCAGTTGTAAGCAGACCACTATGGTGGCGCCACTGCATCTACTGCTATTTGCCAGTCGGAAAGTTGAATGGGTGAGTAATTATATATTTTAATGTTATATATATTAAATTTTGGCATATATTTCCACATAATATTTAAATATATGTGTTTTTCATATAATTATTTATATGTAGGAATGACTAACTATGACTTACAAAATATTAAACAGTAGGTTAAATTTTGATACATGTGCGATAGTTAGCAACGTTTTTCATATGATATTTCTAAAATTTATTTAAAATTCAATATAATTAATCATAATAAGCCATTACAGAACTATAGGTATAGTCCGTTAGACTTAAGCTGAGCTTTGCATTTGTGTGAGTGAAAGTAAAAGTACAGTTAGACAAAAAACTTTTAGAATTAAATTTTATTATATTTTAAATAGATTGATAACATAAGTGTTTGATCTATTCTAGATTAAAAATTAAATAAGCAAAACTTGTAAAAGGCCAAATGGAAATATTGGGGAATTTTTTTTATTAAGTAATAAAAATTTGGAAAAACAATACAAATTTTTCATCACTTGACGTTTGCGTTTTCAACATTTGAAGTTGCTACCATTACAAAGGGTGAAGTGCGGAAGGTGCGGGGTGGAATAAAAACAGAATAAACTGGTTAAAAACTAGAAAAGAATGTGGCATTCAAAAATTTGACATCACACCTACACAAACCGTGTACACTCACACAAATGTAAAGCTCAGCTTAAATGAAACGCACTATACTTTAAAGTATTATTGATATATTATCTATAATTAATATTATTTTTTTCTAATATCCAGATAGACAACATGGTACGTTTAGATAATTGGTTGAACTTGGAAATGTCTCCTCGGACAGCAAGTTTGGTGACTTCACTTCGACCGGCCATTGAACGTATTGTAGAAAGGGCAGCTGCCACCCCTGATGCAGCATTACAATTCTCACCTCATGAACTACAGGTACATATATAATCCCTACTAATATTATAAATGCGAAAGTAACTCTGTCTGTCTGAAACGCTTTCACGCCTAAACCACTGAACTGATTTTAATGAAATTTGGAAATAGAGTTGACCTTGAGAAAGAACATAGGATAGTTTTTATCCCAGACTTTTTGAAAGGTTCTCTTGGAAACGCGATATAACCGAACTTCATACGGGCGAAGCTGCGGGTGATAAGCTAGTTTACAATAATTTGATAATATTTATCTGAACACCATATATTTACGTATAGCTTATACAGGGTGACTGGTGAATTACTATCAATATTTAAGGAGAATACTCGGTACATGATTCTCATTCGAATTATGTAAAAAAAATAGGCACTTAATTTTTGACAAAATTTCCGTATAAATAAATAAAGTGTTGACACGTTCCAAGTGTTCCAAGTGTGGACGCGTGCGGCGGCGTGCTGATACAACACCACGCCCCGCTCGCTTATGTGTGAGTGTGAGTGTATGTGTATACCTAATCTGTAGGGTGTTCATACGATGCGTAATTAATTACATAACTTTTGGTTAACTTTACTTAGAAGTTTATTAATATTTATGTTATATTAATTTTTATTTTGTCATATATGATCCTCAAATATCACGTCCTCAAGTATCGATAGTAATTCACCAGTCACCCTGTATACAGTGTGATTTTTCGAATAATTTCAATACATAATGATGTTGTTAAACTCGTTTTGTATGTGTTATGAATAAATGTTAATATGTTAAGAATATGTTAATATGTTAAGAATATGTTAATATGTTAAGAATAAATTTTTAATTACATTTTGATATTTAGTATTTGCTTCTATGCTAGCATGTAATATATTTGACTAGAATTAAATAAACTTTGGTTGTAAATAGACTTCCATCAATTAATAGTTGTTGCAAGTTTATTTTTAATTAAAATATTTAGTAGGTATAAAGTTTTTTGTTGTCTGAGACGTTGGAGATTTTTATTTACGTAGAGAGAGGAGTTTGTACGGTGGAGGTGAGCGTTAAACGCTTTAGATAGGGTCCCCTTAAACCTACACCTGGGTCACAAGTCCCGGTCACTGTTGAAGCTCCTCTCACTACAACGATGGATCCGGCACACGCATATGAATACATTAAATGATGAGAAGTTTTGCCTCTAATATGAAAAATCTATATTTTCAGGTAATAGATTGTGTAAAGGAACTTTGCGTTATGGATGCAGGAGACTATAATATTCAGCGGCAGACCCCTACAGTAGCTTATAGACCAAACGAATTCAAGCGAGGTCATACAAGAGGATGGGGTAATAACGCGCCAAGAGGCTCCACAGGTTTTCATGGAGGTTTTGGCAACCCGTCAACTGGTTTCAGAGGTAGAGGCTTTCCAAACCAAGGCGAGGGTTTCGGATACCAAGGAGGTTTTGGGAATCAGAGAGGTTTCGGCAACCAGAATAGACCTCGTTTTGAAGGTAGTTTCAGAGGTAGAGGTTTTTATGGCAATAATGATGATGGATATGATTCTAATAGAGGAAGAGGTTACGGCCAAAGAGGTTTTAGAGGCGGCAGAGGAAGATGGTGATTGAATTAAATATATAAGTTAAATAAAAAATATTGACTAAACAATTGTTTTATTAATCTCAATAATTACCAATCACATGATCATATTTAAATAAACTGCAATAGTCCAGTTAGATCATTCAAGAGGACTTTGGACTACTATTAATATGAAATCTTTATCTGGTGCAACCATTACTTCGCTTTTTTTGCTTCTTATACGCAGGAATGTCAAATCGTTTGTAGGATCCAAATCTCTTACGACAGATTTTGCTTTGTCGACCAGAGCACTCATTAAACCAGCGTATTGCACTGATACATGATTGTCTAAAGTAGTTTTTATCGGTATACCTTCTCCGTTAACAACAATCACACCCAAAACCCCTCTATGCGTTGAAAGTTTGCGAACAGTTTCCTCCGCCTCATTAGCCATGACTTAAAATTTGTTGTAAATGACAGTTTTCTTTTTAAATATTATGTCACTTCGAAGTTTTTTATTAAGTTTATTCAGCAATGAGGTTTTAGTTTATTTTGTATGGATAAATTGTTTTTGAGATTAGAAATACGTAAAACTTGTTTTTAGTTTCTAATTGGTTTTTAAAAAAACGGAAATATGAACCAGTAATAAATTAATTTTTTTTCGAATGTAATTAAAAAAACGTTTTAATGTAGACAAAATATATTTGTCAATAAATTAAAACAGTTATCGGTTTTGTAAAATTAAAAAGAAAACATACAATACAAAAATAAAATTCAATAAAAAGTAGATTATGATTGTACTATGTAAATATCTTCCAGTCTATAACAATAATGCCTTCAACAACGTCAGAAAAATATTATATTTCTTCAAATTAAAACTTTAAGATCAACTATTGATTTCATAAACATATACTACTTTAATTAAACTTCTTTATTAGTTTCGAATTGCAAATACAAAGGCATTCTGCCACTCCTAAGCTTTTCCCTCTTATGCACTTTCAATTGATGTTTCATCATTTGTTTTCTATAACCGAAGGCTTTTCCGCACACATTACATAAATGATCTTTAATACCCGTATGATCAACTTTAAAATGCAAGTCGAGATCTCGTTTAGTATAAAACCCTCGCCCACACGCCTCACATTTAAAGTCATGATCGCCTTTATGAGTTAACATATGTTTGTTCAGATTACTCTTATTAACAAACCGAGACGAGCATTCTGAACATTGATATGGCTTCTCCCCAGTATGAGACCTCATATGCATTTTAAGGGACTCCCTAAATCTGCCTCTGTAGGGACATAAAGCGCATTTGAACGGTAGATTATGGAAATGTGTCATTCTGTGCCGATTAAATTGTCCTTGTATAACAAATTTCTTCCCACATATATCACACATATAAGGAGTCTCTAAATTGTGTAAAGACATGTGTCTTTTGAAATATAATGTTGCATATGATCTGTTACAAATTGAACATGTCTGTCTCATATTCTCATGTTCTTCGGACAATCTGTGTTCACTCAATAACTCAAATGAATCAAAAGTTAAATCACATTTCTTACAGTGGTAATTCTCGTGATTTTTTAACCCATTTTCAATGCCAAAGTCATTGTAGCTATCATTTGTATGTAGCAAAGGTTCGTCGACATCTGAATTATCATGTGGCTGCTTTAATATTTCATCAGATTTTTGGGCTGTTTTCCTGAGTAATATAGCGCCTTGAAGAAGATTGTGGCATGGGTGACAAAGAAATTTAGGGAATTTATCATTAATATTAACTTCTATGCCGCCAAATGTCGATAGTGCTTCAGAAATATCATTCGAATCAGAATTACCAAATATTAATATATCGCCTTGTTTTAAACATACTCTGCAGGTCGGTTCTAAGTCATCAAAGTCGTTGACTTCTTTTTTAATGATTGGCTTTTCTGGTTCAGGTGGATCTTTGTGTTCGGTTAAATTCCCATTACCTATAGCTCGCTTCTTTTTATGCATTTTGCAATGTAACATTTTCAATAGCATTAAGTGTCCAACCATTGCGTCCTCTTATTATACGCACTTATATTTAAATTATTCTTTAATTGATAAACTTATTATTTTGGTTATACGTAGCTCATATTTCGATAACAAGTAAGGAACACAATTTGAATAACAATAAACAAACAAATTGTGACATAACTCAACTGTCATTAGTTTTAACAGTTAATGTTAGTATTCCTTGAAATAGTTCATAGATAGGAATGTATTAATTAATTGTTTTTCATTACATTATTATAGTATAGCTTGTCATTATATAACTGCTAAGTTAATTTATATAATTATTTACATGAAGGAAGAGGTATACAAATAATATTTCCTTTTAGTTTTTGGACGAATTTATAAATTATATTTTATCTTTCAAGGTTCATATGCTTGTCAATTGTCATATTGACATAGCGGTCTCAACTCTCAGTAGCACCTATTAAAAATGCTCTGGTCTAATTTAATATAGGTTAACCAAACTTCTAAATAATCAAAATAAGCATAAGAACCAGCTAAAATTTTTAAATAACTTATAATAACAGCTATATTAATTTAAAAAAATATTCTTCGATAACCATGAATTCCTTTAGGGTAAGTAAATATTTATGTTCGTATTTATGTAATTTTACATACATTAAAGAATTAAGACTAAATAATCATTTAATGTTTAAGCATTTATGGCGAGCAACGTCTATTGTGCGAAACGTACTAGTGAACAACAAAACATTCTCGCGGCAACTAGCCACAGCCACAATAACTCCAATAAAACCTATTGAAGATGTACCGAGTGCAGTTGAACTTGACAAACTTTACAAGAGAGTGGAATTAGAAATGCGGGGCATAGATCCCGCTGTCCTACTCAGTTACTCCTGGTTTTGTATTGCTGCTGCCTCTCATTTAGGCATAGAAGTCACCAAAAGGTAAAGGAATTATTAATTATTAGTGAAATAAAAGTATTTAGAAGGAAAAATGCTATGGTGGACTAGTGGTAAAAGGCCCGCCTCTCATGTATGAGTGCCAGTTCGATCCTGGCAAGTACCAATGTGATTTTTCCGAGTCATATGTACTTTCTAACAGTATTTAGACATCACTGAATAATGCATTCCCAAAGAGAGTTGATGTCAGGCAGGCGGCCGATCATAAAAACAATTAGCCAAAACTATTCACAACATGTAAGGCAGACACTGGCTAAAGCTGGGAAATTGCCAAGTAGAAGAACAAATAACAAGTAGCATTAATGAAATTCATTATAAAATATAATTTTTCACAGTTACCAAAGTTTTATAAGCATAAAACAGTATTTATTATGTGTGACATGTGTAATGACTAATGATGAATGAGGAATTCAATTGTAATACATTTTGTTTACAGCTGGGCATTAAGGAAAGCAGAGAAAGAAAGGCACACATTGCTAAGATGTGTCCACATTTACAAAAAACACAGAGTACAATATGAAATCAGGACATATTTTAGATTTGTTCACTTGCAACGGCTTACCGGATCTACTTGTGACACATATTTAGAATATATACAGAGGAACCTTCCAGAAGGGTGCGCTTTGAAAGTCACTAAAGTTGAATGTCAGAATTTACCGGAACATTTGACGCCACCAAAGGAATGATTTAAATATAAAAACGTAGTTATAGAATAAAGAGTACTGTTTAAAACAAGTTTTTTATTAACATAAATTACATTTATCTTATCCTATATAAATATATAAAGACATTTAGGAAACATACATTTCTATATACACAAACGAGAAATTCCACACATATTTAATTTCACCGACACAATTGGTCTAAAATAGTCTATTAAGCACTCTCCTTTATGAGCTAAATTAGAAATAGGACGAAAGATTTGGCAATTAGTATTTATTTGGCAAGGAGGTACTTTTAAACCTGTTCTATTCATACTGTTGATTCTTACACACAGTAAAAATGAATAAAACCGCAAAAGTCAGCTCTAAAGCATGGAATATTAACATTACGGCACACCAAATGTATTCTAGACGTAAAATATATGTCTGGTATATTAGGAAATAGCAGACTCCTACAGCACAAGGTATTGTTAATATCACTGAGAAGAAAACTGGAAGTTCTGAAATAAAAAATCATATTACATATATTTTTCCTTTTAATTCTCGTTATATTTTTAGATTATAGAGTATTTTGTATGTAATTAACATTAAGTAACTTACTTGTACTGGCTAAATTGCCTCGTCTACCTAAAAATATACGAATAACTTCAAGAAGGCATAACGCACTAAATATTCCAGCCTCAGTCAACAGTGCGTTTTCGGGATATGATACGTTTATTGCTTTTAAAATCCCCATAGCTATTTCACATACGAAGAACATTCCTAAATAAAAAGAGTTCAAGTAAAGTAATATTTCATAGGCCAAGCTGGAGTTGAAATTCGTCATTTTTGTGGACATCGTTATAAGTTTTTATTTGTTTACGATTTTAATTTTCGTAACCAATGAGACCTTCCGTCTTTGTGACGTTTCGGTAAAGGAAGTAGTGTCAAGGGGTGGAGTCGCAATCAGTATTGCCACTCGACAAACATGACAACCGAAATTTAATAGAAATATTGATTTATTTAGAGTTACAAATTCAAAATAATAATTTAGAGTGATGAACAAAATATTTTAAGACGCCCGTAGGAAACATAAAATAGAAATTTTAATTAAATTACTACAAATTAATAACGTGTAAATGACAAGTATAATGTTGAAGGGGAAAACAATACTCATGCGATGTTGCTGTAAAAAAACGAAAGAAATGGAAAATATATTAGGTTCAAGTCATAAAGATATAAATTCAAGAAAATAAAAAAAGTGTTTTCTTTATGTCTAAGAATGAAAACTGTTTAAGAATATTAAAGGATTTTATAAAAAAATACAAGAAAAATTGTAGAGAAATAGGAACATATAAATGAATCTAATATTTTTCCGATTATACTATGCGTATTTTATTATTTTTAAAACTATATACTCCCAAAGTTTCGGTTACTTTTCAGCAACCGTGATCAAGGGTGGAAATAAAATAGGAACATAATTTCGAGAAACAAATTTGATTTTTTCAATATGTTTTGCCGTAATTTTTTTTTCTATTTATTTCTATTTCATTTTGATTAAAGATGATTTTAAATCGTTTACGGATGAAAATATCAATGAAATTTATACTTTATTACATTGTTTTACGTAAGAACATACATGAATAATTATAACAAAAGAGTTTTCATAAGATGGAACGACATTCGAATTTAAACTATTTAATTTATGTAAAATCTATTTTAATAAATAAATATTTGAGTACAAAACACTAACTTATATTCTGTGATAAAATTTTATCTTAATACAAGGTACCCAAGTGTTTGTCTAGAACCAGAAATTATGAAATTCTCTGAAGATTTTTAATCATAATAATATTGAGACAAGATTTTAATTTTCATCCTGTTAGAGTATGAATAAGTGTTCAAAGGAAACTGTTTTCATAATAAAACTCGTTTATAAGAAACGTTAGTCAGATTTTAATAATTTTATTGTAATAAATTCATGCTTATAAACTATTATGAATGTAATATATTTACAAAACAGTCTAAAAACATTTATGCCGTATTTATAAGTCAATTCCACTGCTCTGGCGAACTTTACGTGTATATAAATATATCAGAACCCTGCAATGCATATCTATACACTACCTAGTTCACTCGTTAGACAGGAAACTATCGCGGAAACAAACATTATTTATACAGGGAGGTTATATAAAATAAATTATTATAATTATTACAAAATTATTACATAATTCGTTAATTCCTTTTTTCGAATATCTTCTATAGCTTCATTTTTTCATAATATATTAATAAATACTTACTGAACCATCTGTTTCGTTTAAAGAACCTTTGAAAATTAAGATAGCTATATTCTATAATTCTTAATTTATAGTTTAAATCTTAAAAGTCCTAATTTTATCTCCCATAGTTGCCTGATTGTTTACGACCTATGTAAGTAATCAATATAATAAGCAAAAGTAAATATAATTATAGCTAAATATTACTATATTGCATGCATAAACTCCTAGGAAAACGAAAGTGAACACTCCTGTTGAGAGAGAGTTGTGGAAAATGTAAGACTAAAGCACGCGATCACAACGCACTGTCTACTAGAAGGAAACAGTCGCTTACATAGAAAATCAAATGAGGTTCTAGAATATTGACATTCTGAATATACAACGAAAATGAGGACCAAACCTAATTTGACCTTTTCAAAACTGGATAAGGAAACAGGAGATGTATTGGATCGAATGTTCGAGAAGGAAGATTGTATGGTCGAGATTAATCCTGGCCGTGTTATACTACCAGCGGACTATATGACTATAGGTCAAGATATATTGGATATGGATGTTTTGGAAAGCGATGTTTGGATGCTTTCCTATCCGCGGACTGGTAAGCTATATTAAATAAAATTACTAACCTAAATAATTACATCTTTATTTAACATTTTACTTTATATAGGTTCAACATGGGCCCAGGAAATGGTGTGGTTGATTGGACACGATTTGGACTACGAAGGCGCCATGTCTTTACAACAGGTGCGTAATATATATTTTTATTTCACATTAAAATAATTGCTATTACAGAAGCACTTTACAATAATTATTTTTATTACAATTTTAAGTGCAATGTCTGTATAATAGTAATAAAAAGTAGTCTATTTGACTGGTTGACTGTAAACGGAACGCACAATTTTTTACCTTCGTTAATCCTAAAGAAATATTACTAAATATACAATTGTGAATTATAGTGAAATATATAAATTAAACATCTTTAGAAACTTATCTATTAATAATAATAGCAAGCAATACATACCTAATACATATATGTATCATGAAAATACGTGTCATAGAGATGGTGTATTGTCAACTTCCAAACAAAATCATTAACGTAATTTCCGGTTTTTCATCCCTACGTCCATACTGTCAGTTTCAAACATTTGTTTTGCAAACTTGTAATAAGGGTACACGTATACAATTGCTATCGCTCGATATGAGAATGTTCGAAGCTTTTTCATTAAACTATGTCTAGTTATAAAAGTACTTTTATTAATTGAATGCCTACTACCTAGAAACTATCAGATCTTAGTTCAAGTTTGCATCGTTACTACAGGAGCGTTGCTCGTTACATCATTCAATAAACAACTCTAAAACTGTAGTATTAAGATTTATAATAGTACAACTGTTTAGACTACGTATGTATGTGAAAGAAGCTAGCTTGGAATAAGCATTCAACTCTTACTTACAAAATCGTTTTGAGCTTTAGAAAGGCGTTTGTTGAGAGAGATTATTAATACCTCTATATATTTATGGGTACTATATTTTAGTTTCAGTGTCAGTGTTTTAATTATTTATTTAAGTGCTACCACCCATTGGATATATTTTCGTATATACTCATCGTTTTAAATAGTTATGCTCCAAGCAATTTTGTTATACCGGAGTTACAGGTATTGCAAAGAAAGAAAACATTAGAATATGTAGATGTAAATAAAATTTTAACTATTATATATTACTCAAATTAATACCTGTGCGTAAAAAGCGATACCTTAATAAGGTGAAACATTTTCGTTAGTTTTATTCATTTAAATGAAACTAATATATTTCGAATTATACTAAGCGAATTTTATTGTAAAAAAATTATCACCGTTGCTGAAAAGTAGCCGAAATATCGGTAATATGTAGTTTTTTACAGAAATCAAGTCGCGTAATATAATCCGATAAATATTAGTTTCATTTAAATGATACCTTTCCTTTAGATTCGGTGTCCGCTAGTGGAATTATCCTGTATAATGGTTGATGGTCATGCTCAATGGCATGATGAGTCCGTCGGGGGAACTTCGGTCGATCTTGTGAAGTACCGAGTGCCTCATCCTCGGTACATACGCAGCCATTTACCCTGGGATCTGCTGCCTGTTGATATATTGAATGCTGATGGAACCGTCAAACCGAAGGTAAGTTTGACTGGTGCCCCCCTACTGAGTTATAGTTAAGTTTGAGTGATTAATCTTTATCTTGGTAGGGGGGAATTGATTAAGGTCCATAAATTAATATGGTGGCTTTTAAATCTTGGTATTCATTAGTGTGAGTTTTATTGACAAAAAAATATTGTAGAAGATAATTTTAGATAAAAAGGTTTTCTTTTTATTAAGTCTGCTCAAATACGTAAAAATGTTTATCATTAATTTTACAACCAATACATTTTTTTTGCATTAAATTTTAGTTTAGTTACCTTTAAGTTTGGTTTAATGCTCGGCATTATATAGAAATTGCATGAAAATTAAGCAGTGAGTATTTAATACGCTTCAAATTGTATATATAAGTGTATTATTAATTATTTTATATTGGATCAGGTGATTTATACCTCTCGCAACCCTAAAGACATGGTGGTATCATACTACCACTATTGCTCATTGGTGCACGGGATGAAGGGGAGCTTTGAGGAGTTCTGCGACCTATTCATGAGAGATCGAGCACCGTTCGGACCAGTTTGGAATCATATACTTGGTTCATGAATTTCCTTATTAAAACTACACACTACATTTTATTACTTTAAATTAAACGCACCTTAAATATACCTTACCAAGAGTTTGGACTATAAAACTAAAAACATAGAGTTTCGAGTTTGTTACAAATTTTATATAATTATCAATGAATAACAAAAAAAGGAGGGATTTTGTGTTTAGTCAAAAAATGCTAGTAGTAAGATCACTGAAGGAAGACATACTAATAAAACATAATAAAGATATTTCGTTTGGTTTTGTTGTGTAATGAATTTTTTTAGGTTTCTGGAACAGACGTGACGATCCGAACATACTCTTCATAAAGTTTGAAGAAATGAAACGAGATTTGCCAACAGTTGTCAGGAAGACGGCTAAGTTTCTAGATAAAACTTTGAGCGACGAGGAAATATTCAAATTATGTGATTATCTGTCGTTTGCGAATATGAAAACTAACCGCGCAGTCAACTTGGAGGCCATCTTGGAGAAATCGTATGGAAAACACTTTTTGGAGCAAACATCGCTGAGATTTATCAGAAAGGGAGAGATAGGGGATTGGAAGAACTTCATGTCTGATGATCTTTCTAGAAGATTCGACGATTGGGCCGAACAGAACCTCAAAGGCACTGAATTGAGTTTCGAATAAAAACTTCTTTATGAAAACTTTTTGGTTGTAAATAAAGCAAATGATTTATACATTTAATATTTTTTTAAGGCATCGTCATAATCATGTTTTTTTTTTTAATTTAATTTTTAAATATCACTAACATAAGCCAAATAAAATGAACATAAACTTTCGTAGTCTTTTATTTTCACAATAGTGAGAACGCACGACTGAAAAAAAAATACATAGGTACATAAGCCGACTTGTATAATATTTTTATATAATTTAAACATATCCTATTTACAAACTGAAATGTACTTCAAACATTATTCTTTAACATAGACAAGATTTTTTATTTCAATATTTTCCTGTACATAACATCAACATTTAGATCCTAAGCATTCTAATGATTTGCAATCAATAAAAAATTACATACACTTTATAAGTTAATTATTAAAGCAACAAAATATCTATAAAATTTAATATACAATTAAAAATATCAAATGTATACATGTAGATAAATTAAATACAACATTTAGATAATCTCAAAAAGGACTAGATTGCTAATTGACGTTAACAAATGTTACCATATACCAAATAGGTACCAAACTATCGTATGATGTTGCCAGGTTGTGATAAAATATTCCGTACTTTGCTACTAAGTTTGCATATAAAATAAATACGGAGAATTTTTCATTCATAAATCCTTTAACATGAAAGAGGAAACACTTAATATTTAGTTTAAAATTCAACTTGATTTTTTAGGTTCGAATTATCAAAATTCGTCCACCCATCCAAATTTCGGTCGCACCTTAAGTTGCTTAACTAACAAAACTCCTCCCAGGTACATTGATATGAATACGTAATTGTCATAAAAAATACATAAACAACCTTTTTTCTGTTGTTTAGTAACAATAAAGTATAATCACTGATTAAAATTGTTTTCGTCGAGGTATACTTGTTATAAATCATCATCTATTGTAAGTTAAAACTAAAAAAAATATCATTAATATTACGATAATTCAATATTAATTTCAAATCTTAGAAATCACTGTACTTTGTTTATGATTATTTACAATAATATTAATAATTAAAAAATATTATAATGACATCCAAAATTTTCCTAAAACACTGTCAAACAGCGTGTGCTATATAAATTTTCTTTTTATCTATTGTCATTAGTAAAGCTCACTTTAAAATGTAAATTAATAAATAATATATCCTTAAACAAATATATGGGCTATCATTGTAATAAAGGCCGCGAAATTTCATAGGTATACATTATATTTGTTGTAATAGAACTATAATATAAATAATTATACATATAAAGAAATCTTTCCTGTAAGAATCAAACTTGTTTTTTTTTTAATTTGCTGGTTGAATAGAATCTAAATTATAGTGCCAAATTAAGCAGACTTAGTGAAATTGCAAATGTACAAAAGTAAATATAAAGTTAATACTTATATTAAATATTTCGGATATTGTAAATAAGTGTGTAAAAATAATACTGTAATAGAAAAAATACTGTCTTGTGATTTTGTTACATGGTATTTTGAATGATAAATAAATCTTTGGAATTAGCTTTGGATTGTCTGTTCATATTTGACTGTAACTAACAGAAATATCTTAATATATCAAGATTAGCTTTGGTAAACGAAGCCACATAATTCTTACAATTGTATACTAAACGTTTAAACAACTACAACAATGAGTGAAAAAATTTAAACATCGATTTATTACACTTAATATAAAAATACTATGACTATTTAGTGATTCCTTAAAATTATAACCTTTTAGGCCGAGTGATAAGATCTTGATTGTCTTTATGAAAAAAAAAAACAAATGTCTAAAACAAATGACAGCTAGAACTAGTTTTGTGACGTACATGCGGGTTTCCGAACGCACCGCAGCATTGGTGATGATTAACATTCTTTGTGTGATGATGTCCGTGCGGTTGTACGTTCGTTGATTGTTGAAGTTTTTCTTTGATAGAATCTTTGGTTGAGTTTTTTAACGCACACACTTTATGCTGCCCTGGTACTATACGGGCTCGGAATCTGCTGACTTTGCCTTGTTTTGGTGGTTCAGCGTTTTCTGATGTGACGCAGATGTGATCTGTGTGCGCGTCTTGATATTCTGTATCTGTTTCTAAAAAATAAAAACAATGTTACCAACATTATTGTTCGGCAGAATCATGTTCAAGTGACCAACATAACAAAAAATATATTTTATAAGTACCAATATCATCGAGGCTGTTCCTCATGAGAGCTGGCGCAGGTAATGCTGGTAGAATTGGTGCGGAGTGTGCCGGAGATTCGCGTGTCTGTATAACAAACAATGAAATTAAAAACTATCCATACTAATATTATAAATGCGAAAGTCTGTCTGTCTGTTTGTTACGCTTTCACGCCTAAACCACTAAACTGATTTTAATGAAATTTGGTACAGACATAGAGTTGATCTTGAGAAAGAACATAGGATTTTTATCCCAGACTTTTAAAAGGTTCTCTTGGAAACGCGATATAAACGAACTCCACGCGGGCGAAGCTGCTGGCGGAAAGCTAGTTCTTTATAGTCGGAAATAGCAAAAATATATATCTATTAAGTTTTTGATATTTTTAAGGGAAAAAAAACATGATTATAGTCATAGATTTATTACATTTTTGTTTGGTGTAATTTTATTTACTGATGGAGTCTGATTTTATATCTGACAAACAGTTCCAGGTATTTCAATCACACATTACTTTAAGGTCCAATTTCATTATTGTTTTCCATATACCTATAGTTCCTTCCCATATGTGATAATCCGCGTGGTATTACAAATACTTAGATCTATTGGAGCATACGGTCCCTAGATTCCCTAAATCTTTAACGACTTACCATCGGTTCTGTAAAGAAGTCATCACATTTTGTAGCCGGTGCAGTACCAACCCTACAAGGGGACGTTGAACTGTAACTTGAAATTAAGATTTCAGTCAACACATACTTGGAAATAATTTAAATGTATATAAATATTAAAGAAAATACCAGAAAGATGAGTTTAGGCTATCTAGAGTACGCTGAGGGTCCAAGGATTCTGCATCAGTCCATTGACCTCCCACACTCGCTGTAGTCGATCTTGATTCTAGAAGAATTCATCCATAAAGAGACTTCTACATAAATAAGCTTCTAGAGATTCTACTTCTAGAAAATCTACATACATACCTTTATCCTTTTCTGTTCTATTCGGTGAATTGGCAATACTTCTTCTAGCGACGTCCTGGAAAGTGACAGGAGAATACATCCGTCTCTCTTCAGCAGGTGACATCATAGTAGGCGCTGTGGGACTCTTCACAGTTGGAGTAGATGGTTGGAATGTTGTATTACCAGCGTTATTGCTTAGAGAATTAGGTCCTGAATTAATTGCGTTAGGAAGATGGATATTTGTTTCCTTATTATTCATTTGCTGTGCTGAATATTCGGCGATACTATCTCGTACGTCAGCTGCTCTTTCCCATTCTAATTCTGATACTGGTTGAATTTGGGATGAAATTAGTTTGGTCAGCGATGGCCTGGATTCTCGTCCTTCCAACCAATAAGTTTTCATAGCACCTGGAGACAAAAAATATAGTTGTAGACAAATTAAATTAAAATCACGCAATATGAAATAATGGGCTTGTTCCAATAGCAATACTTTTTTTTGGTTTTAAATTTTACCTTTGCAATTTTTACCTTTCCCTTTAACTTGTATTTCGCCACGCTCAGTGACTTTGTAGGATGGCGATAATAGTTCCTGCGTTGTCTGTGAGATGTGAATTCTCATTGCTTCAGAGGTTGATTCCATACGTGATGCTGTATTCACTGAATCACCGAAAAGACAGTAGCGAGGCATCTTCAAACCGACGATCCCAGCCACCACTGCACCAGAATGAACTCCAACTCGTATAGATAAATGGGAACCTGTGACGATTATATAGATTCATAAATACTTTTATTATTCTTATTATATTTCATGCATTATTATATTTATCGAATATAACATAAAAATAAGAAGACTCCTTCGAGATTTATCTGAATTGTCTAAGTCAAGTCAAGCATTGTCTAAGTCACATCTCGTCTACCCATGATCACGGTTGCTGAAAAGTAACCGAAACTTCGAGAGTATGTAGTTTTTACAATTAAGAAACAAGCGCAGAATAATCCTAAAAATATTAGTTTAATTTAAGTATTGTCAAAGATTTTGTTATTGTTCCTGGCAATGTTTAACTAAATATACGTATAAAAGCAACAATACTGTTATTTTATGTCTATGTTGTATAAACAATATCACTCATTACGAACTAGTAGCGCCATCTAGCGTAAAGGATGTAAATCTGTGGGTTTGTTCGTTTTTCCAAATAAAGATCGCTTCCTGTCTGTCAATCAAGGGTTAAATTTATAAGAAATATATATGTATAATTATTCTTAATGCCGTAAAATTGAGAATATTCTAAAGATATATGTTTTTTATATTTAATTACCAGTGCTAGGATCTTTAAGGTCTGTTATCGCGTCTACCATATCAAGCGCCATGTCGCAGACCTTCTCAGCATGATTATCTTCCTTTTCTGGCGCTCCTGACACCACCATGTAAGCGTCACCTATTGTTTCAACCTATGAATGAAAGAAAACACGTGTAAATAAATTGGAATTTTTTTTGAACTATTCTAAATAAGTATACATTTATTTTATTTGGTACATCTCAACAGTTTATAGAAATTAATTATTATTGGAAACAGTCATCCTGAGTTTTGGAAGCCAGACATTTATACTAAAAAAGAAAAATATTATTTTAAAACATTTTTTGTGCTATTTACTAATTGTTAGAACTTTGCGTCTACTACGCAAATGTACCCTACTAACTATTCCATTTCTTCCTTAAAAATTATGCATTGAAAAGTCTGTATTTGAAGATAATAAATACAGAGACAAAACTTTTCAGCATTCCATGGATTTTGTGGGTGTCGGGTCCATCGTTGTAGTGAGAGGAGCTTCAACAGTGACTGGGACTTGCGACCCAGGTGTAGGTTTAAGAGGCCCTATCTAACGAGTTAAATGCTTACCTCCACCGTCCAAGCTCCTATCAAATGAATAAACTTAATTTCCACTAAACTTCTGCAACATACGTACCTTATAGACACGATTACGTTCAGTTAGCGTGTCGAATATGGAGTACATAGCATTAAGCATTGAGACCACTTCCATCGGAGTGATGCGGGAACAGATCTCAGTGAAGGTCACTACATCGGAGAATAATATGGACACACTGTGAAACATCTGAAAGATAGAAACATAAATATAATAAAATATAATCCTTAGAACCAATGTGATTTTTCCGAAGTCATATGTACTATCTAAGAGTATTTAGACATCACTGATTAATGCTGATTCCTAAAAGAGGGTTGATGTCAGTATAATATATTAAATAGCCAAAACTATTCACAACATGTAAGGCAGACCCTGGCTAAAGCTGGGAAATTGCCAGGTAGAAGTAATACTTAGAATAATTTTTATGACTGATTATAATGAATTATAATACTGAATCATTGTTTGTAATGGAAACATTTAAGTGTCAACTTATATTTGAAAACTATATACGGGCTTCGGCCATTTTGTAAGACATTACTGGAAGTAACGCCGAACATTACGTTATTATAACATATTGAAATACAAATCTGAAACTGTACCTCAAATAATCGTTATAATTGTGTTATATTTATGAGTAATAATGAAATAAAACAATGAACTTGTGGCACACACTTTACTGCTTCAACGTAGACTGAGAACTGTCACAAACATTATGTATCTACCTACTATCTGAATTTGTTACATACACTATAAATTGATTTTACGATTCTCATATGAATACTAAATAAAATAACAAAAAACGGCTCTTTACTCATCTTAATTAAAGACAAAATTAAAATATTTTGATATAACTTCGTCTTATATATTAAACAAATTGATAACAAAATATTACAAAGAGTATATAAAATTAAATTATTATCAAATCAAAAGTGATAAAGTTTTTCAAAATAGGTTACCATTACGATTTTGTCATACAAGCTTTTTATTTATAGCTTTAACATAATAATATACCAAATATTGTATAAGAATTTGTTATAGGGTTAATCTTTAGTTAGGAAAAGTTCTACAAAGAAAAGAATTTGTCTATTTGATATTCATCGTTCCTTCACAAAGATATGCTAATCAGCTTTATAAACTTGATTAATGCGTTCAGTTGGATGAGATTTGGAAACTAAGTACACAATATCATCAGAAGTAATAAAAATATCAATAAATTTGCCAAAATCCTTTGATAGTTTTAAAATATAATTATTAGTATTAATTTTTGTATAAACAAAGAGTATATAAGTATAGATAATAAAATAGGGAATTGCTTATAGTAGGGAAAAATACTGAAGCATTTTTGTCAATTTTGAAATAATAATAATTTAAAGAATAGTACAATTGTTTTGTTCAGTTTAATAAAAATAACTATACTTATGTATTAATATAATATATACTTGTTTGTGTGTTCGTTTGTTTAAGTTTAATATCGCTAGTTATAGATACTTACAGAGAATTTATAGGCAGAAAACGAAAAACATTATAATTATCTCAAAAAAATATCTGAATATTCAATTATATGGTAGAATAATTTTATATTATTATTAATAATTCTCATATTCTTCGACTTAGATAGACTTTTTTGTCTGGTATATTTAAACTGAAGGAGTTACATACTATTTTTAAATAATAATACTAATCGCTTCACGTATGTGCGAAAACCTCGTTTCTTTTTCCAAGAGATTGAGAGAAGAACGTGGAGTTTATGTTGAAGAGAAGTGCTCAGAAATATATATTTTTATAAAAAAATACGTTATTTGGAAAAACACTTCACAGCGTGTGTGTGTGGGTATCTGACACACACACACACACGCACACACACACACACACACACACACACACACCCACACATATATAATACGTCAATACGTGAAAATTCTTCAATGTGTGTAATGTCATTGTCAAACATGACATTTCTAGTCCACTTTTAAACTTTAAGTCTACTATAAGTTTCCTATTGACATAGTCTACTAATAATGGTGGAATCGAGCTTATGTGACGTCTTATAACATGAATAACTCACCTCACAAGTGTCAATGGGGTTCTCTCCGTTCCTCAATCTATCTGCAACTTGTTTCGGTATCATTTGATACAGCAGTTCATCTGTTCTTTTCATCTCTTCATCCAATTTCCGCATAGATTCTTCGAGCTTCTTACTTTTTTGTTGTTCCTGGTCCAAAGCTAGCTTGAGTTCGACTGATTGCTGTGTACCAGCGAGCATTAGGTCTCTGGAATTTAAAAAATATTAGTGCCCATTTCAAGCCATTTTTTAGTTCAACACTGATTTATATTGTTACAGTAATTTGATTTCAATGTTCTACGTATTAGATTACAAATTTAATTGTACCTGCTAAAGTCATGCATCGATAAATCATTTATGTATAGTCCTGTTGAGACAAGCGCTGCCAGATCAGGCATCACTGGCGTGCCAAGATACATCATCATACGCCAATTGTCCATGTATATCATTTGTCCTGGATTAAAAAATAAGCTTATAACATATAAAACCTCTTTTAGTGAAACCTCTAACATCCAAAAAAAAATAGGTCCGTCAAACTTCTTTAAATGCTGTCATCAATTGAGTTAGAATTCCGTGATAAAAAAGTTTTTATTTATTCTTCGTACGTCCAAAAATAAGTAAAAATATATTGTGTTGCTATTTACTCGATAGCATTTTCAATTTAATGATAGTCATACATTTATTGAAGACAGTTCTCAAGGTGCGGTTTGCACAGTGCGGCTATAGGGTTTTTCACATCAGCGTGAACTACATGTGCACCTAATGTGAATGTCCCTCGGCTGTATTAAGCCAGGACACAAACTTAAATACCTTTGAGATGTAAATTTATAACATCGGGTAACTGCCTTCCATCGTATGCAAATCTTTTCTTCTTGATAGCGCCTGAAAAATTTATAGAGCAAACGCCTTCTTACCATTTATATATTAAAATTGTGATTCTTCCGAGCAGAAATAAAGAAAAATTTAATTGAAATACTATATTCATTCTCTAAGCACAGATAATTTATCAGAATAATTTCTGACGAAGACAAGGCAGCCATTTCAAAATCTTTTCAGTACCGTATCGTACATAAATATATTAAATATTAAACAATTTTATAAATAACTGCTCATTTAGCAGATTTTTATAAATAAATACGTCGAAATGTCAACGGACGGTCATAAACCAACCCTTATCAACATGAAGAGGGTGAGATTTAACGAAATGGGTGAAAGATAAAATTAATTTTCCCATACAAACTCTTTTACATGAATGTAAGGATATTTCAATGAACGGATGTTAAAATATTTGCAACCGATTCATTCATTTTTATTTACATTTCACATGAGTGATGTGTCACGGTTTTTTATTATATTTTTAATATTCTTTAATATATACAATTTTCATAAATATTTGACTATTACTTTGTCACCAAATTATTAAAAAAAATTATTGCTTATTAATAAAAAAATGCTGATTATTTATTTATTGACTAAGCCAAATTAAGTTCTTCTTGCATTTCTATCAGTTCAGAAATATGTTGACATGTATAAAGTTTATGAATGTGCCTGTCGATGTCATTTAATTGACATGTCTTACCTTTGAGTCGTAAATTCTTCTCAGTGGTTGTGTCAGATTCGTCAGACAGTCTGATGAGTTCGTTCCGTTTGTCGGGAGCCTTCTCATGCATAACTGCTTCCACTGTCACCAACTCGAAGATATTATTCGTCCTGTTTAAAATCTGATAGAAAAATATTAACAATGTGATTAATAAAAGCGATTACTCACATTTACAGCTAACAAAAATCTAAGATTTATTTCCATTTAAAGCATTTAAATATAATTTATGTTTATTCTTCATAAATTTCTATGACTTCGGTGGTAAATATTTTTAGATCAAAATGAACTTGATGTCAAAACAAAATTAGAAAACGGCGTCAAGAAAATTTGTTATTGTCGAATTCACAAGTTAGGATAAATTTAATATATCTTATATTAATGACATCTAAGATTTTCGGGAGTAATCATTTAAATGAAACTAATATTTTCGGCCCGTCAACCGAAGTAACCGAAACGTCGGGGGTATGTAGTTTTTGATAATAATAAAAATCGCGTAGTACGTCCGAAAAATATTAGTTTAATTTAAATATCTTGTACTAGCTATCCGCCCGCAGCTTCGACCGCGTCGAGTTCGGTTTTATCACGTTTCCAAGAGAACCTTTCAAAAGTCTGGGATAAAAACTATCCTATGTTCTTTCTCAAGGTCAACTCTATCTTTGTACCAAATGTCATTAAAATCAGTTCAGTGGTTTAGGCGTGAAAGCGTAACAGACAGAGTTACTTTCGCATTAATTATATAAGTAGGGATTAGTTTAAGTTTGCAACTTAATGATATGATTATGTCTTACTGTTTGAAATTTAAACGCTATGAGCGGTCGCACGAGATCAAACCAGTTGGTGATCTTCTTTCCCACCAGGTCCGGCAGAATCACCATGAGGGAGTTGCCGATACTGCGAACTACCATGTCTGAACTAGAAAAGAAATTAATCAATTGAGAACAGAAAAACGATAATTAGCTTTTATATTGAAATTCTGTCGAGATTATACAGGGTGACTGGTGAATTACTATCGATATTTGAGGACGTGATATATGACGATCATATATGACAAAATAAAAATTAATATAACATAAATATTAATAAACTGCTAAGTAAAGTTAACCAAAAGTTATGTTATTAATTACGCATCGTATAAACACCCTACAGATTAGGTATACACACACACACACACTCGCGCGCGGCGGCGTGTTGTTGTATCAGCACGCTGCCGCACGCGTCCACACTTGGAACACTTGGAACGTGTACACACTTTATTTATTTATACGGAAATTTGGTCATAAATTAAGTACCTATTTTTTTACATAATTCGAATGAGAATCATGTACCGAGTATGCTCCTTAAATATTGATAGTAATTCACCAGTCACCCTGTATAGTTTTGATCAGATGCTTTATACTGTTGCAAGTTACTTTTTAGTTGTAATAATAATATTTACTAATAATGTTTTTAGAAAACGATATTTTTTTCTGATCTTGTTCTTTGGTACAATATATTTTTTAACTTAACTATAACCCAAATTAAATGAAAAAGTTTCAAATCAAATATTCATCTTATTCAAACTTATTATTTCTTTTATTCAATTATGTTTTTTTTAAGGTAGTAGAAAAGAAAATAATATACTTAACAAATCTTTTAAAATGTGGTCTAACATAAAAGGCTGATTTTAAAACAAATATAGGAGATTTCTATTAAATATCCAATAATTATCACCTCTGTATGGAAGTAAAAAGAAAGGAGGTTATATATTTTTCTCAAACAATATAACTATGTAATTATTACCCAAAGACAATACAAAACGGGAATATCTCAAACAGGACCGAGGCGCTAATAGGCAGATGTTTTTCTTCCCTTGTCATTGCTAGCGAGGCCAGGGTGAATGCACGATTGTCGAAAGTCAGTTGGAAAGTTACATGAACAGTATCAAAAAGTAGTTCCTCTCGTAATAACTCTATACGCATCTCCTTGTGGTAGAAGTGACGGGCTACCTGAAAGCATGACTGTATTAGGTTAAAATATTCTACATGTTGTTGTTATAAGTCGACGATAGATGGCGCTGATAAAATATTTTCAAATTTTGTATTATTATTGGTTATTAATAAAATTATAGCTTAAAATTATTTAATTATGGATTATATAAAATAAAAAAAACCACGATCAAATATGATACAACTGTAATTTTATGAAAATAGTAAATATTAAGTGACAGTAGCAGAAATTGAGGAAAGCGCCATCTATGTTCGATATAAGTTATCTTATAAAATTGGAATAAGTGTCATGATTTGTAAAGGCTGAAGTGGCAAGTGTCAAGCATAAAAACAAAAACTATAATATGTTTAAATATCACTGAATGGTAAATGGAAAGGTGATTATAGTATACAAGTTTAAAAGTAATATGCAACGAATATCCTTTTTGTATCCTAAAGTCAAATAATGTAATAAATTATAAAACAATAAATATTACCTCTCTAATTTGTCCCATCGCGTAATAAACGAAGCCCCTCCGTTTCGATCGGTAGTGTAATGTCAATCCCTGTCTCGTTTCATTTTCACAAATAAAACTCGGGGCTCTCATTCTTGGATAACTGAATTTTAAGTATTCGTGTAAATTATCCAAACCGTTCAGAAAATCCCGCATATGTCGACCTAAAACTGATAAAACTCTGTCGTAGCCGTACTGTGAGACAAAACCTACAAAGTATACTCCCATTTGATCCATAAATTCTCTTTCTGATATGCCTAACACCTGTAATAAAGGATATTTCATTAAACGCCTGGATTAAATTAATAGCAATGAATATTATTTAAAGAATCTAACACAATATAACGTATTTTATCTTCTATGCTATTTCAAAATTGTTGTTGTTACCATTGTTTTGTTCTTAATGATATAAATAATAAAAGAATAGAATGTATGTTAAGCAGCAGAATATTGTGCATAATTTCGGATTGTCTTATATCAGGGGGTGTAACTCAGTGGTAGAGTGTCTGCTTCGCATGCTGAAAGTCCTGGGTTCAAATCCCAGCACCTCCAAAGGAATCTTTTTATCATTTTTTATTGTAAAATTCCAAAGCTTCTATTTTTTATAAGAAATATCTTTAAATATTACAAATGAAATCTTATATATAAGATTTCATTGTTTTGAGTGAAAAATCAACAGAAAAAAAAGTTTAAATATAGTAACATAATAATAGGCATAATATTATAAATAAATACATTTTTTTATAAAAACTCTTTTAGGTTTATGAGTTAGAAAATTATATATTCCTGAACATTTATCATTCAATAAGAGAAGTAGTATTCCGCTAATAAATAAAAAAAGATCGTGGCCCATGAGGGGATCGAACCCGCGACCTTCGCGTTATTAGCACGACGCTCTAACCAACTGAGCTAATGGGCCATTGTTTGTAAAGTTGAAATATCGGAACTAGTGTCACATAGTATAAAAACGAATAAAAATATTATTTTATCGCTGAATACCGATTCTAAAATTATTACCTATCTGCTATTTGAATAAAATAACCCTTGAACTGTTTGAGAAAATATCTAGTAGAAGCATAATCTTTAATAATAATTAAAGCATATCTTTAATAATAATTAAGGTAATAGATTTTTTTTTCATTAATATAAATTCTATCATATAAAATACAAGTACAAATTATAATTATCTACGTACTATGCAGTTCGTTAAAAAGCTGTCACATCAAAGCATCGTATGTGTAAACGATAAGTTTATAAATGCGTCAACACTTCTATCTTTTAAGATATTTTTAGTAATCTAATTTCAGATATTGATTCTCGGTTTGCGGATTGAAATTTCTTAGCTTTTTTTTTAATATTAATTGAATTTTTATCTAAATGAAGTGAAGTTTAACCTTTATCGCGTTATTTCTCATGGATTTACGATCTAGTGGTTAATTCCTGACTGATTCATAAATTATTTGAGTTTTATAACCGCTACATTCTTGCATCGTTAATTTAACTGTTTTTGCTTGATAGAATATTAAAAATCTTTTAATGTTTAAGACTTTAAACGCTTAAGAAATATTTTATCAGATTTTATACTTCAATATATAAATGTGACATATAATTTTGGACTTTAATTACGAATCCATTAGGTCGGATGTATAATAACTATATCCAAAGTTATAGCTACTTAGCTATAACTTTGGATATAGTCAGCTTTCAAAGTTGCCATATTTGTCGTCAAATATGCAAAATTGTAATTCAATTATTATGTTGCTGATTTTAAGTTTTAATTTCCTTATAACTTTCTTTTTATATGTCCAATTTATATATCAAAATAATATTTTTTCTTACATAAATTGACGTCAAGTGTTTTATCAAATAAGAATTATTATTTTTTGAATTATAAAATGAAACCACTTACTAATATATAAAAGATACAAATAATATATAACTTAGATTTTATAATATTTATTATAGAAGCTGAAATTATATGTTTTTGCTTGTAATTTACTCATGTATTAAATACTTAATCGGTTTCGATGAATCTTTTTTACGTAACTCAAATTTTTGAAACTTACAGCGTGATTTACATTCAAATAATATAAAAATCGTATGATCTGTTTCAAACAAAACAATTAATACGTATTTGTCACCAACCTCCTGGGCTTTTTTAGCCAATCTCGTGATTAAATTCTCAGGATACACTTGGTGTACCGAGAATGATGGTTGTTCCACACCAGCTTGACGCCTAATATCCTCCCATCTTTCTTCTCCGTAATTCTGACGGATGTATTCCGCCATATTCTCCAACAGCAAGCCGTACATTTTGTCTGTAAATGTATTTCATTCCGTTAGAATCATTCGTTTGCTAGCATTGAATAGAACTACAAAATGTAATGTACTAGTTTATTAGTTGAGATAAATGTACGAATGTTTTTGAATAATAATACGGCCAAGAAACTGCATGATGAATCCATGGAATGATGAGACGTATAATCTTATTAATTGAAAATAATATTCAAGTTTCTTCATAATTCACATATATATAAGAATTTCGTATTATCAAAGGAGATGGATAGTTAAACATAATATTGATACATTCTTTTTCTATTAAAACATCAAATATCAGTTGAATTGTTCAACTCTAATTTCCTATAATACAGAAAACCTGTAATTAAATCTGAGACCTCAGTTTCTTGAGTTAGTCCTCTTATAAGAAAGTATGTAGTTCTTTAATTGTTAAAATGTTCACATCTTTCGGATAGTGATAAATAAATCTAACTCATTCAATATGGCACATAAACTCTAATGAAACAAGTGAATATCACGAACAGACTGATTTATTATTTTAGGCGAGGTAGGTTCATAACAATTGTTACCAATTAGTAACAGAGATGGCGCTACTAGTGGTACATATTTTGATACATCTAGCAACAATACTATGTACTTTAATTTTATTCACATTAGGGTCCAAGAATGTTAGGAACAACTTAGGTTTTATATGAAATTACTATTAAGTACTGACTGATGGCTAATTGAAAAAGCCTATTTATGTCGTTCCATTATATTAACTATTTATGTAAAACAGAATAATTTGTTTTAAGTATAAAAGAAATTAACTTATTGCAGTTTTTTAATAATATATTCACTTAAATATATGCTTAATACGGAATAATATTCTTAACTCTTACATCTTGTAGCGATTATAATTTGAAATTAAATATTTAAATTAAAATATAGTGTAGTACCTATATTAATTTATTCAGTTTTGAAAACAAGAGGTGTTTTTTAATAATTAATTATTATTTATCATAGGTAGTTATGTAGACTAATGGTCGCATTTTATTTTTACTAGATATCTTTTTACTTATTTTTCACTTCCGAATATTAATGAAAACGTTTATAAAGAATGATGTAATAAAATACAATGAGAATTTAAGGTTTCGTCAAGTTTGTAAAGTGAGATATTTTTTGAGACTATAAGAATACGATTAAAAACAATTCTTAAGGCAAAAGTTTAGTCTGTTTTATGTAATTAATAACGTTCTTAAGGGTTATAACGGCAACTATGATTTCCACGGGATGATTAATTTTATACCGTGCATTAATTAATTCAGCATTTTCCCTCTTCACTGACTGACAAACTTCTAAACAAAGAGCGTTACAATTCAAACATTAACTCATCTTGGATTAGAAATTTTTTTTGAACAATTTCTTTTCTAATTTTAATAATTTTGTTAATAAAATTGGTTAAGCTCTATTCTGGACAAGTTTTTGTCATTACTTTGGACTGCTGCTTGAACTTTCGAGTATAGTGACGAAATGCTAATAGTGTGCATTATACTTAATCTTTGTTTTTCAATTATATGATTAATATATGTTTTTAAGTTTTCATAGGTAATAGACGTTATAAAATATCAAGCCGTGTAATGTCATCTACACTCTCAGGTTTTCGCTTGATTTATAAAAAATTTTACAGTAGCATACAAAGATCATGTTTTCCAAATGTTTTTATCGTCCCATAATGACTCTGTTATCAAAAGTTTCCTATTCAAAAAAATAAATAAAAAATTAGTCTCATTTAGTACGTTTGAAGTCAAAAACCACAAATAAATAGCAATTTTTTTTATATTTAACAGCCAAGAAATGTATAAAATCAATAACGATGGTTGAAACTAATATTTTGCGGATATACTACGCCACTTTATTTTTATCAAAAACTACATACTCCCGACGTTTCAGTTACTTTACAACAACCGTGATCACTTGCAGACGAGATGTGAGTGTCTGTCAGTCGGTCTTGTTATTTTATCAACTACAGTCATCGATTTCATAATTTTCTGGCGTAAGTTTTTATCAAGAATAAAGTCACGTAGTATATCCATGTAATATTAATTTCATTAAAATGATTCGCGAAAATCTCGAATCACGTTAATAGCGATAGTTATATGTATACGTTTAAATTAATCACACATTTGTAAACCACAAAACTCTTAAACTTTACTAATTATAATGTTGGAAATATTTCATACATGTTTTTGATCAACTTTATCTATTAATTTATTTGTTAATTAAATATTATTTGATTTGAAAGGCAATTATTAATTAAATAATTGAACTTTAGAGTTAATTTTTCCATTTCAATTACTTAATTGAAAGGCAAAGACAATGCAAAAAAACCTCTCAAGAGATAGTCAATGAAGACTTATATTTTAATTTATTAAAAACTGAGGTGTTTTTTTTGGATGAATGATATTAAAATGTACTCTACTTCAAAATTGTATACTAACTTGGAAAGAATTTATTTCTACTTGATATTTTTATTTCTAGCAAAGAATTATTATTAACAAGTGCAATTTGTTTTGATAAGCTCAATATATATTTAGATTTTTGTTAATTTAAACTATGTTTTTCAGAAACTATGCTTTTCGAATGTACCTACTACGTGATTTTGTTATATGACGCTGACCACAAATGCTGTAAAATAATCGAAACTTTTGTTGTAATCCTATTTATCGAGAAGACTATAGGTTATATAACTTTGCTTTCCGACCATTAGGGGTCAAGTATAAATGAAAAAGTTTTAAAATAGGTCTCCTGAGAGCTTGCGTTCTTATCGAAGTTATCAGTAAAAGTAAGAAAATAGTGAGGTTTTATTTGTATTTTGGTTTATGAGCATTCAGTATTTAATAAAACGAAACAATTAAAATCTTTTCTATATAGAAAGGTTAGAATTAAAAGATATAAGTGAGAATGGAGGCCCGAATACTACCAACGTGGTGGTTGACTAATAATTAATTGAGTTATAAATTGAGAAATTTGTGCGTTATTAATTTTTCCGTTTAGTTGCCTAATTATTATAGTTTATAAATGGTATATAAAAATCAACTTTCCGTCTGAATGAATATGATTTCTATGTTATAGTTATATTTAATAATAATCTAACTTTTTATATAATTATTATGTATCCTTGCTAGAAAAACACTTTAAAGTTGCAAGAAAATGAATTAATGTTACAAATATAAGTTAAAAACGGAGATTTCTTGAAGAAAAAAATATTTCTTGATAGTAATGAAACTCCTTTAACTCTGAAGTCTACATTAGAAAAATGGTAAAAAAAGTACTTGTTCAGTTATTTCTATTCACATTTTTCTATTCCCTTTTTATCTTTAACATATTAATAGATAATTTTTATAGTAGATATTAATTGTTTGTATAGTAATATAGAATTAATTAAAAAAAATAGGGTAAAATAAATTCGATGTTACATGATCTAGGCTATTATTTGACCTTTAGCTAAAATTTTAAGTTAAATTTATACAAAATTAAGAAATAATAAAATATCTTTTTATAATATGACATACTTTATATGATACTAGCTTTCCGTCCGCAACTTTGCCCTCGTGGAGTTCGGTTATATCGCGTTTCCAAGAGAACCTCTCAAAAGTCTGGGATAGAAACTATCCTATGTCTTTCTCAAGGTCAACTCTATGTCCGTACCAAATTTCATTAAAATTAATTCAGTGGTTTAGGCGTGATAGCGTAACAGACAGACAGACAGACAGACAGAGTTACTTTCGCATTTATAATGTTAGTAGGCATACATAATTTAATGACAACCAAGCTATAAAAATGTTTTTCTTGTGGTGACCCCATTTCAAACATTTGAGGTCATATTGAGATAAAGATGTATTATCCCATATCCCATCAAACCACAGAGATCTATTATTTTGTTTGAACACTTATCTGTTTTTTGTTTCCATTCTTTATTTATATGGCCATAATTTTATTGATACTACGTCTTTCCTGTTACTTTTCGTGAATGGAATAGCTATTATAATGTAAAACCTATATTAAGTTTCGTCCAAAGTTTTAACAAATATATTTTTTATTTACTCCCCGTAACCATTTCATAAGTAATAAAAAATGACTACTTAAATTAAAATTACTACGCAATAATATATTTATTAAGAAGAAATAAAGTGTATTAAGTTTCTTACAAAACAAACTTATAAGCTATAGCCGAGATTTCATTTGAACATAATTAAAAAATAAGTTAATAATAAGTCAAATTCTCAAAGTTAAAACAGTACTGGAATGTACTGTACAAAATAAAAACAGCTTATACACACACATACACACGCAAACATACTATTTATATAGAAACTTCTTTCACCAATATCGAGTTTCACTTTCTGGCAAATAGGTAAAAATATCCAATTATATCCGATGGCGCTATACAAGACATCAAATTACTTGGACAACATTAAAGCCTCAGTTCCGACTGGCCATTACAATAATTGATATATAAAAAGGGATTAAATCCATGAGTCTCTTTTGATTTATGTTAAAACATTAATATTGCCATTTAATTAAAATATATTTGTATAATAATATGATTTAACGTTAAAGGTTTGAAAATGATTGGGAATTATTAATTTATTTGTAAATAGAACATCATCATCATCAGCATATCAGAGCCCACTGCTATGCAAAGGCTTCTTCTCACATGGAGAAGGTTTGAGCATTAATCACCACGCTTGCTCAAGACGGGTTGGTGATTTCAAACTTATAATTTGATATTATAAGTCCAGGTTTCCTCACGATGTTTTTCTTCACCGTCTGTCAGTGGTATCTAAATACTATTAGAAAGTACATATGACTCGGAAAAATACATTGGTACAATACATTAGAGGCGCGTCTTTAACCACTGGGTCTACACTGACTTTTTGACAGAAACTGAACATGTTTGCATTAAATTTGATGTTGTTTGAAATTTGTGCATTATTAATGCTAATATCTGATGAATGATGTAGCATTAGAAG